TGGATACAGCATATCCTGCTCCGTTGCTATCAAGCATTCCTATGTAATGACCTGTAATATGGATCTATTTACTCCCTAATTACTTTGCTATTATTCAAGCTCAAGTGTAAGTTGTCTGCACAGGGTTTTGTTTTTTTTTAAACGCTCTGAATTACTCACCACTACTAATGTTTCATAGCTTCAGGCTGGCATTAGGGCTTAGGTGTTATAAATATACAGGTAGTTTTCAAAGAAGTAAGCAGATGAAGGATCTTTTACCTGTAAGGCATGTTCCCTCATGACCTGTGAGAAAAGAACAACCCTTGTTGAAGGGATGATTCCAGATTAACGTAGCTCTTCAGCCATATGTGTATTAATTTCAGAGGCCTTTTGGGAGGGATCAGATCTCCGACGAAAATCCTCTTTTTTTTTTGGCAGCCTGCTGTGTGAGGAGGAAGGCAAGAAGGAAGGAGAACATTGGAGAAGGAGAATGACTAATGTCCCTTCTTGCTTTTAGCTTTGTCCCTGTCCAATATCGCCTCCAACAAATTGTAACACATGAGAACAACTGCTTTAAACTTAATGTAGACTGCTTTCAACTTGATTGTAAAAAAAAATAAATGATTTTTATAACAGAAAATATTCAAAGTCTGGAATATCTTACCCAATTCCGTTGTTTCAGCTACTAAATTTCACAGTTTTAATTCCAAATTAACTTCTGTGGACCTCATCCCATCTTTAAGGGGGCGTGTCCAAGTGCACTAATATGCCTATCATCCCTGTCACATTTTAGTTCTTTCATTTAGTTCGAATTTATAATTTTTGTTTTATGAAGGTGACAGATAGATAGATAGATAGATAGATAGATAGATAGATAGATAGATAGATGATAGATAGATAGATAGATAGATAGATAGATAGATAGATAGATAGATAGAGGTAGAAGATAGATAGATGATAGATGATAGATAGATAGATGATAGATAGATAGATAGAGATAGAAGATAGATAGATGATAGATGATAGATGATAGATAGATAGAGATAGATGATAGAGATACAGATACAGATACAGATACAGATAGATAGGTAGGTAGATAGATAAAGAGAGAGAGAGAGAGAGAGAGAGAGAGAGAGAGATAGATAGATAGATAGATGATAGATAGATAAAGATAGAAGATAGATAGATGATAGATGATAGATAGATAGATAGATAGATAGATGATAGATAGATAGAGATAGAAGATAGATAGATGATAGATGATAGATGATAAATGATAGATGATAGATAGATAGATAGATAGATAGATAGATAGATAGATAGATAGATAGATAGATGATAGATAGATAGAGATAGAAGATAGATAGATGATAGATGATAGATAGATAGATAGATAGATAGATAGATAGATAGATAGATAGATAGGATTTGTGGGAGAAAAGCCCCCAAGAATGTGTCCACAAAATGTTTGCAATTATCCACGACAAGTTGTGACATGACACCCTGAATTAAATACTCACTTCCTTTAGAATTAGGTAAATATCCCTTTTGTAGAGAAATATTCTAGTCTTCATCCCACTCATCCTCTGACGGGAATTACAGAAGGGACTTTCAGAACTGATGTGTCAGCTTACCTCAGGCTCAAGGCCAGAAAAGAGGATTCTAGAAACGTTGGACCAGACCGAAAGATTCCAAAGCACAAATGCACATAAGAATTCTCTATTATGTGCAAGTGATTCATAATTCCTTCTCTGACCGATTCATCCTTGACTTTGTGTTCCTGATAAACGTGCTTACATTCATCCACAGCCCAACCCTCACCCATCCCTTCGAGACTCAGTTTATTTACTTTTAAAGCTGAAGGCAGGGAGTTTTCCAGTTTCTGGTTGAAGAGCCATTCGTTCAGTGGCCTCGGGCCCTGGGAACGTCTGCATTTTACGTAGAAGAGAGACAATGATGAATGGAATGAAAGAAAGCTGGTTACACATTTATTTCTTTAGTATTACAGTATTTTATTGGCTACCCAAGGTTACTGCAGTAATTCAAAATACAAAGCAATTAAAGTAATGCTAGCCCTGTGAGGTAATCTAGCTAACAAGCACATGAATATTAATTCCCTGTAAAGGCACATTAACAGCATCTTGCAAGGCTGAAATTTTTATTTTATTTTTATTTTTATTTATTTATTTATTTATGTATTTCGTCAAGCATGTATTTTATGACAGATACAAGTGTAAACATAATTATAAATACGTGAAAACGATACAAATAAAAGAAAACATTAGGACAGGGACGATAGCAGTGGTGAAATCCAATTTTTTTTTTACTACCGGTTCTGTGGGTGTGGTTTGGTGGGCATGGCTTGGTGAGCGTGGGAGGGGAAGGATTCTGCAAAATCTCCATTCCCACCCCACTCCAGGGGAAGGATACTGCAAAATCCCCATTCCCTCCCCACTCCTGGGGGAAGGATTCTGTGAAATCTCCATTCCCACCCCACTCCAGGGGAAGGATACTGCAAAATCCCCATTCTCTCCCCACTCCTGGGGGAAGAATATTGCAAAATCTCCATTCCCTCCCCACTCTGGGGCAAGCCAGAGGTGGTATTTGCCGGTTCTCCGAACTACTCAAAATTTCCGCTACCGGTTCTCCAGAACCTGTCAGAACCTGCTGGATTTCACCCCTGGATGGTAGGCATGTTGGTGCACTTATGCACCATTATTTCTTGCCTCTGTGCTTTTACTCTCCAGAAACCCCACAATCCCTTCCGAAATGCTTCCCACATTCTCCTTCCTTCTGTGGGCCTGAGATCCCTTTTACAAACCGGTTGACATGTCTGCAGCTCTTCCTCCTGTCTCCCAGATCTTTCCCACATATCATTACAAACAATGATACTCAACTGATTCAGATGGTTCCCAAACACAATTAAGAATTAGATGTTTATTGGAGTCCCCCTGATTTTTTTTTTTTAAAGCAAGAAAAGGTGGGGTTGCCCTTACCAAGGAGTCATGTTCCAAAATTAGAGCAGTAATTGGTAGAGAACAATATGGTAAAGAAGAAAGGGATGTGGAATCAGGGTAGATAAAAATCAATGATTTAAAAAAAAATCAAAAAAATCAGATTTTTTTATTTAAATCAGATTTTTTTGATTTTTATCGAATTTATTTTAATAAAAAACTTTTGGGGTAAAAATCTATCGTAAGATAGTTTTCTATTTAAGATACATAAATAATTTAGTTTATTCAGCATGAAATGGAGCTTAGTTATGTAGCATGAGGCTGTATATTCTGCAACACTGGGACTATCGGTGAGTCAACAGTGGGTCAAAGGAGTAGCAGAGATGACAGTGGCGCTTTAAAAATTATGATTTAAACTGAGTTGATTTAAATCAAGCCTTTTTACTAGTGATTTAAATCATGATTTAAATTGTGATTTCAATCAACTCAATTTAAATCAAATCCACCCTGTGTGGAATTGCTGTTTTTTTTTTCTATGCTCTAAGCAGGAGAGAATAGTAACCTTTCTTGTCAGTAGGGCAAGTAATCAAACCCCTCCCATGTTTCTGGGAGCATCAGGTACAAATGGGCAGGTACATAAAACTATGAGGAAGATGTAAAGTTCTGCCTAGGGCTACCTTTGGAAGATGTCCGTCAGTCTCAGAAGATACATTTCCATGGCCAAATGCTTAGACTTCAGTCTCTCTCTACCCAGTGGTGGGTTTCAAATATTTTTACTACCAGTTCTGTGGGTGTGACTTGGTGGGCATGGCATGGCTTGGTGGGCGTGGCTTGGTGGGCGTGGCAGGGGAAGGATACTGTAAAATCTCCATTCCCACTCCACTCCAGTGGAAGGTTACTGCAAAATCCCCATTTCCTCCCGATCAGCTGGGACTCAGGAGGCAGAGAATAGATGGGGGTGGGACCAGTCAGGATTTTTACTGCTGGTTCTCCGAACTACTCAAAATTTCTGCTACCGGTTCTCCAGAATTGGTCAGAACCTGCTGAAACCCTCATCTGTCTCTACCTTAAGAAATCTCCCTCTCTCTCAATTTTGCATTGAAGCAGACGATAAAGACCGTCTCACTTCTGTAGGTGTTTGGATATTACTGTTTGGATATTACCCCCACCCCCACCCCCGCTTACTGGGTGGCTATTCATATTTTACTTTATTATTTTGTTTTCACTTGCAATTACAATTACAATTATTGTTGTCCTTTTTTGTAATGTGTATTGGGCTACTTTGATGTTTACAACTGGATTAAAAAGCAAATGAATAAATAACTTTAATATCTATGATCCTTGGTGGTGCAGCAGACTAAAGTGCTGTTAAGTAGCACCAGCTGCCTGCAATTACTGCAAGTTCAAATCTCACCAGGCTCAAGGTTGACTCAACCTTCCATCCTTTCGAGGTAGGTAAAATGAGGACCCGGATTGTGGGGGCAATAAGCTGACTTTGTATAAAAAAGAACACCGCTTAGGGGCCCCCTGAAAGCCCTACTAAGCAGATATATACAAAAGTATGAGGGCTATTGCTTAACGCATTGTAAGCCGCCCTGAGTCTCCGGACAAGGGTGGCATATAAATCGAACCAATAAATAAATAAATAAATAAATATGAGTTGAACCAGTTTCTGGTAATTACATGGTGATGGCAGTGGTGGAATTCAAATTATTTTACTATCGGTTCTGTTGGCATGGCTTGGTGAGCATGGTGTGGCTTGGTGGGCGTGGAAGGGAAGGATACTGCAATATCTCCATTCCCGCTCCATTCTGGGGCCAGCCAGAGCTGGTATTTGCTGGTTCTCTGAACTACTCAAAATTTCTGCTACCGGTTCTCCAGAACCTGTCAGAACCTGCCGGATTTCACCTCTGGGTGATGGTCATATAATTTGCTTGACTGCAGAATGAAATTGGTTTCCCACTATTTTCATTCTTCATGGGTAACTGAATAACAAATTGTGTTGTAGAGGTGAAAAAGGTAGACATTCCAAAGTGAACTCTTTTTTTTTTCCTTTTCTTTGTGAAGTGAGTTCTGCAAAGGAGTCCTGGAAAGTTAAGGATTATGAAGTAGTGTATCCACAAAAAGTCCATGCGTTACACAAAAGAGACGTAGGAGCAGCTCAGAAGCCTGACCAAAAAGTAAGAAAAAGATTTGCTTTTCATCAACTTGTTTACTGATGGATCTGACCCTGAGTTTTGCTCAAGATTCATGTGAGGCAGAGTTAAAACTACACTTCTTTCAAAATTTTGCAGTCTCAGCTGTTTTTATTGTTCATTTTTAGAGTTTAGGTTGTTTTGCTTTATAAAGGGAGATGGTTATATAGTCACATATTTGTTAGAGTTCGTAGAATATGAAAAGTGATGATGGGAGGGAGGTTATAATTTGGAACCTATCACCTGTTTCATTTTTAGATTGGATCTGGTGTTGTCGGGGATCCTCATCCAGCCCTTACAGACCTTTAAATAATACTTTGAATAATAGTTGCATAGATGGATTTTCATAGACAGTTGCAAGTAAAGAATGATTTCCTCTTTTTAGATAGACATATCATAAATCTCGTAAGACTCTAAACTTCCAAAGGTCTGTTTCACTTTGATTAAAAATCTGTCCAGTTGCAGAAATTTGAGAAAAGTCCTTGCACGCTTATATCAAGATTTGACACACTTGACATGGTTTGAGTGAAACTTACAAAGCCCTAATATTTTATGGGAGCGAAAAATCCTGTTGTGCAGGATTATTGAGTCTGGCTAACTATTCTGTTGTCAGCCAACAGAACTTTTGGTATTCTTTAGCTGCCATCTAGATTTGCCATCTGCTTATGTGGATTTTTGCATTGCAATCTATGCAACTGTGTGGGTAATTATTGATCTATTATTAAACAAATTTATATGGCCATCCAATTCAACACAAATGAGGAAACTCTAAGTAATTTACAACATTCAAATTTCACCATATTAATAAGTTAGTATTGTTAATACAGCTACTGTTAATATTTGACTTTGGCTTTCCTTTTTATGGTCTTGGATCATCTTTCATAAACCAAACAATATGAAAATAGGATTTAGGATTTATTAGATTTCTATACTGCCCTTCTCCCAAAGGACTCAGGGCGGTGTACAGCCATATTAAAACACATATAAATATACAAAATTTAAAACAATTTAAAATTGAATATATAAAAATTTGGCCCATAGATTAAAACACACATACATCCATTCTAAAATTCGTATTAGGCCAGGCCAGCTTGTTGGAATAACAATAACAATAGCACTTAGAGTTCTATACAGCCTCCTAATGCTTTACAAAATATCATCCTTCCTGGCTTCCCAGAATGAATCACTTTGAAATAGAAAAGTTGTATTTGTGGATGAAAATGGCATAATGGAGGTTAAGACCAAGGAGTGGATTCAGGTCCATCCTCCGCCATAGAAAAGCTCATGGGATAACTTTTGAGTCAGTCACTGTGTCCCAATTCATTCATTCCTCATTCATCCTCATCCAACCTCATTCATCAAGAAGTTGAATTGGAGAAGAAAACCTTGAACTTCTGGAGAAAGTTTCATTTAAGAAGATCTTATAGTGGCTTTCAAGCACCAGATGAAATAATCCCAATCTAATAAATGAATTGGCTGCAACTTTCCATTTGACACAGGTGTTGAGTTGTTAGGAATGTACACCTTTTTATTTGCCAATTTTTTTAAAAGAATATTCCGCTGTTACTTCTCTAAATACTGAACGCTTTGCATTTCAGACTAAGTATGAAGATACCATGCAATACGAATTTAAAGTGAATGGAGAGCCAGTGGTCCTTCACCTAGAAAAAAACAAGTAAGTTAATTCAGAAATTCTTTTAACTTTGCTAAGACGATGTGAAAAAATATATATTCTTGGACAGAATCCAAGAGAAATTAAATTGTATTGCTTTGTTTGGGAAATTAAAACTAAGTTAGATAAGTTAATTGAGTTAAATTAAATATAATTACTGTAAAGGAGAAGGGGATCGAGTTAGTGAACATGCTAATTATGTCTTACCCCAGAATTGAGAATTTCTTTTTCTTACTTTCTATGGTATACCGATGAACCATAACAATTCTAGATAAAGTTGAACCACTCAAGGCTCATAAACTTCGGTCCCTTGAATTACCTGGGTTAGTCGTGAAATATTAGAGATTTCAAAATGCTTGGTTACACATTTATGCTGCTCCACAGACACCTCATCAATCTGTATAACTTTTCCTAAGAGCCTTACATAGCAATAGCACTTAGACTTATATACCGCTTCACAGTGCTTCACAGCCCTCTCTAAGCGGTTTACAAAGTCAGCATATTGCCCCCAACAATCTGGGTCCTCAGTTTACCGACCTCGAAAGGATGGAAGGCTGAGTCAACCTTGAACCGGTGAGAAATGAACTGCCAAACTGCAGCCAGCAGCAAGCAGAAGTAGTCTGCGGTCCTGCATTCTAACCACTTACATCAGAGTTTACATGTTGAAGCGTAAAAGGCATGAAATGTCATGTCCTATTAAGGCATGAAAAGGGACATGACCTACACAAGCCCAGATTTCAACACACCCTGCTGGGTTTTTGCTTTTTTTTTTTGTTGTTGTTAAGAATGCCATTTCATTCCTCTCACTGGTTCTCCATTTGAACTGTAAATCCAGATACTAATAAAGATAATAATAAGTAGATTTGCCACCTGGCTTATATCTGCATAATAACTAACCAGTGGAACAGGTTTTGGGTCTCTCGCTGACTTGTCTAGCCAGGCCACTGCATTTTTATTAGCAGCTTTATTTCAATAGGGGGACCAGACATGGTCTGAAATTATTTCTCCCTTGCAAATAAACTACTTCTACTGCTAAAAGAAGCTGTGCCATTTTCATTGCCTCAAATCCAGTAAATGTCACATCAAAGTTGAAATTAATATAGCAGCCACTGCATGGAAAAATGGGAACAATTGTTTAGAATCTCTGCAGCCCTGATACAATTTAATATTAACATTAAGACCAAGGGTGGGTTTTACTTAACTTTACTACCGGGTCACATCACACCCGCATGCACAGATCACCTATGATGACATCCGGGTCAGTGGGTGGAGCCTCCCGCCGGTTTTACTACCGATTCTTGTGAACCGGTCCGAACCGGGGGCAGCCTTGATAGTACAGTGGTTTAGTGCACCCTGTTATTAACACAGCTGCCTGCAATTTCTGCTGGTTCGAATCTCTCCAAGGCTCAAGGTTGACTCAGCCTTCCATCCTTTCTAAGGTAGGTTAAATGAGGACCCAGTTTGTGGGGGCAATAAGCTGACTTTGTATAAAATATACAAAAGAATGAAGGCTATTGCTTAGCGCACTGTAAGCCGCCCTGAGTCTCCGGAGAAGGGCGGCATATAAATCAAATTTAAAAAAAACAAAAAAAAAAACAAAAACCACCACTGATTAAGACCCAGATACATACTGAATGCTTTGGGAATGACTTCCTGCTTTAGAATATTTATTTATTTATTTATTTATTTATTTTTATTTATTTATTTATTTATTGGTTCGATTTATATGCCACCCTTCTCCAGAGACTCAGGGCGGCTTACAATGCGTTAAGCAATAGCCTTCATACTTTTTAGTATGCCCTATTTAGGGCAGCCCTATTTAGTAGGGCTTTCGGGCCCCCCAAGTGGTGTTCTTTTTTATACAAAGTCAGCTTATTGCCCCCACAATCCGGATCCTCATTTTACCTACCTCGAAAGGATGGAAGGCTGAGTCAATCTTGAGCCTGGTGAGATTTGAACTTGCAGTAATTGCAGGCAGCTGGTGTTACTTAACAGCGCTTTAGTCTGCTGCGCCACCAAATGATGGATTTTTCTATCCATCACGCTATACATGCCCTCTAAATGTATATTAATCTCATTATTAAGGATGAACTGTAAACAAACTGTGTGTCACTTTAGCTTATACTGTTGAGACATTTCGTGTTAAATTAGATGATGTGTGTTTTAGAAATTATCATGTTACCCTTTCCTATTGTCTAAACCTGTAGGCTGCGTAGAACTTCAGGGTAGCATCTGGATCAGGGGTGTCCATTGAGGGCTGCATCAGGGTTGTGTTTGACCTTGGGGGGTTGGGGTGTGTTGCCAGGGTGGGCATGGCCAGCTCAACATCACTCGTGTTTGGGGAACCTCTGGTGGCCCGGACAGGGCTGTGACATCCTCCACAGCCCTCTGCCAGTGAAAATGGAGCTTGGGAAGACTGCATGCAGCCTTCTCGGTCTTCATTTTCAGCCATGATGGCCTCCTGCAGCCCTCTGCCAGCAAAAACAGAGCTCGAGAGGGCTGTGCACCCCCCCTCCTAAACTTTGTTTTCACTGGCAGAGGCACTGAAGGCCAGTCCTTTGCTGTTTTCATGGTGGGCCAGATCTGGCCTGTGGTCTCAGCATCTCAGGAACCATCTCAGGAGGTGTGTGTGTCAAGGAGATTTGCTACTCGACATGTGGGGTGCTTAGATCCAGCCTGCGGGCCTTGAGTTTGACACCCCCTGATCTGGATGACCTTGTTTGGGCTTGGAGCAAAACGGGGCTAAAGGTAGGAGACCAGCAAGAAATGCCAGGGGTATGTCTATATTAGAAAAATGGAAGGCAATGCCAAGAAAAGTCCATGAATATGTCTGCTTCATCTGGTTGTTGCATTGGCCAGAAGAATCAAAGAAGATCCAAGACAAAATGTCTTCTCCTGGTCAATCATGCCCCCTCTGAGCCTCGATGAAGAATATTGCACAATTTTCTTAGTGCAAAGCTCTTTGCTAAGGTGAATCCAGGATGCTCTGCGCTCTTTTAAATTGCCATCCTGATGAGATTGAAATACCCCCTCCTTCCCTTTGATACCAAACAATATCCTTAAAATGCCAGTATACAGTAGTTGTAGACTTATTATGCAATTATCTATGTTCCCAAGACTAAATAATGTCCTCTTTGTATTCTTTCCAGAGAACTTTTTTCAAAAGATTACACTGAGACTCATTATTCCCCAGATGGAAGAGAAATTACAACGAGCCCCTCGGTTGAGGTAATATCCACATTTATGAAATAAATTGAGAATATTTGTGCACAATACTCCAAATATGCACGTACCAGACCAGGCTATTCAAACAAGAAGGACTGTATATGCATGAAGTATCTTATATTGAGCATGCTCTGTGTAAGGATGTGTGGGTTTGTTAAAACTCAGTCTGTTCTACTTATTGAATTAATAGGGCAATATTTCAACCAACCAGTTCTTTCCTACTGATTAAAAGCAAACATTTTGGGGACAGAACGCCACAAACAGGTTTATTTTAAAAATATCATGTTTATAGGATCTGCTTTGCTTTTTAAACCTAATTACACTGATAAATAAATAATAAGGGACGTGGTGGCTCAGTGGCTAAGACGCTGAGCTTGTTGATCGAAAGGTCGGCAGTTCAACGGTTCAAATCCCTAGTGCCGCATAATGGGGTAAGCTCCTGTTACTTGTCCCAGCTTCTGCCAACCTAGCAGTTCGAAAGCACATAAAAAATGCAAGTAGAAAAATAGGGACCACCTTTGGTGGGAAGGTAACAGTGTTCCGTGCGCCTTTGGCATTTAGTCATGCCAGCCACATGACCATGGAGACGTCTTTGGACAGCGCTGGCTCTTTGCCTTTGAAATGGAGATGAGCACCGCCCCCTAGAGTCGGGAACGACTAGCACATATGTGCGAGGGAAACCTTTACTTTTACCTTTTTACACTGATAAATGCAAAAATATTTGTTTGGAACACCAAAAGTAAGAGGAATTCACTTTGTTTTTAGGGTATAGAAACCCATTCTATGTTCCTCACCCTAAAATGGGCCGGAACCTGTTACAATATCACAGCACTAACATACTTCCTTGACCCACTACCTCCCAGCCTGGTAGCGCAGCAGACTAAAGCACTGTTATTAACATCAGCTGCCTGCAATTACTGCAAGTTCGAATCTCACCAGGCTCAAGGTTGACTCAGCCTTCCATCCTTTCTAAGGTAGATAAAATGAGGACCCGGATTGTGGGGGCAATAAGCTGACTTTGTATAAATATACAAAAGTATGAAGGCTATTGCTTAACACATTGTAAGCCGCCCTGAGTCTCCGGAGAAGGGTGACATATACATCAAATCAACAACAACAACCAAAAAAATAATAATCTAAAAGTGCACCCTTTGTCTCCAAAAATTGTCTACTCCTGAATTAGCATCTTCAAAGGTCATGCAAACTGTTCTTACTTAATGTGTAAAAGAAGTCTGCTTTGATAATTTGATGTCTATATGGGTCCTGCTTGCAGAAGATGCTAGGAATCAAAATTCAACACCCGTTGGAGTCTTTCAAGTTATATAGGATTTTTAGTGTTGTGTTAGTGTTGTGTATTTATATCTCTGATGTGTTTCTCAAAGCTTTCATTGTATGGGCTCAAAGAAATAGCCATGTAATTGATATCCTAGGTAAATATGGGTTTTTTACGTACATCATGATAAGATTTCAGAACATAGGACAATGAGTAAGTCTTAAAGTTTATTCAGCAAATCCTGTGGTGCAGTAGTAGAGGTGACCTCCCAGAAGACCACGTTGGTGGAGAAAAGGTCTTGTAATGCGAAGAACACATTTTATATTCCTTTGTTGATTGTCTGCCCAAAGGTTCTTAGCTTTTTTTCATCCATGGGGTTCCTCCTGCAGTGATATTCTGTACTTCCAAATAACCAAGAGTTAATACTTGTAAAATACATTTGTTTAAAATTCAATGTCTTTTGGCATTTGTGTACTGCATGTGATTATTTCTCTCTGTTATAGACATTCACTTCCTTAAATTCAGAACAGTTCAAAGCCAGTTCTGTTTGAGGACCAGCATTTGCAAGGTCATATCTCACTTACAATCAGCACAGGTTTTGGTACACCTTAATTTCAATCTCTGTGGGAGGACATTTAATCTATTTTGGGGACTGGATGGCTTTGTGCTTGCTGAGAGATCTCAGCTATGGAACTTTATCACAGGGACACAGGTGTTGCTGTGTCCATATTCCAAGACAAACCTTACAGGTGATTCCCCCCCCCCCCCATCCCCAACACACACATCTCAATGTTACTAATCAATTAAAGAGATGTGTTGGACTTCAATTCCCAGAATTCCCCAGCCGGCATTGCCTCAAGCATTCTTTGAGATTTTCTACAGAAAAAAGTCATTAGGCCATAATACAAATTATGACTATGTTAATTAAAACAACACGAGGAAGTCATTGCTTTGCAGACAATTCCAGATTATTTCCTTTGATCCGTGACAAATTTAATTTAATTAAAAAGACAACAAAACTGTACCATGTTTCTCTTTCTTTCTTTTTTTTAAGTTTCTGTCTGAAGGAGTTCTTCCCCCTTTTTGGCAAGCTCAAAGAATTTTCTATTTTTATCCCTTCTTCCTGATGATATCTGCTTCACACAAGGCACTTCTCTTAAAGACGTCTAGAGAACTTTTCAAGGAAGTGGCAAAAGCCAATTAAATATAGCAAGATTGGTGCTTATGCAGCAAAATGTGAATAAATGATGCTGCAACGTAAGCTAAGGAACCTGATTTAATTTAAAATAAACAAACACATATTTGGAGTCCTAAACACTGCATGGATTAAGCTAGAAAGGGACTTTATTTATTTTTTTAAAAAATCTTATTTAAATTATGTGTAAGATAAAGGTAAAGAAGTCCCTGTACATTTTACTCCAGTAGCCATAGCCAACTTTACAGGGTGTGCTTATATCTGTTTCTTCAAGCCACTGAGACTGTCTGAAGATGAGACATCATGCCACAGCACAAAGCATGCAGCAAAACACACAGTGCAGTTGCCTTTCCACCAAAATAGTACCTATTTGTCTACTCGCATTTGCATGCTTTCAGACTGCTAGGTGAGCAGGAGCTGAGGCAAATGACCGGAGCTCCGCACTTGGGTCTCGAACGTGGGCTGTTGTTTTCCAGCTAACATGCCCAGCATCTTAACCGCTAAGACATCACACCAGATTGTCCTGCATCAATTCAGCTATGATGGGATAAGAGCCGTGGGGGCGCAGTGATTAGCTGACAGTCATTTACTTGTAAGATAAGGCAAGTTAGATCCGCCACGATCCAAAATAACCTACAATTGAACAGCTGATGCTAGAGAGAGCCAGACCTGATATTGCCCTTATTCAGAAAAACTCTTCCCTTTTCTTAACATGGTAGAATCTAATGAAGTGATGGCGAACCTTTTCAGAACTGCACACTTGTCTGGTCCACAACCTGGAAGAGGAGCTGCCCAGGGGGCATGCGCACCCCGAAAAATGAATTTCTGGTTTCCGGTGCATGCATGCGTGCTGTCCAGATAGTCTTCCAGTTACTGGCACGCATGCTACTTTGTCTCTTGCAATACTTGACAGTGGTTTTGTATAGGGAGCCTCTTCCTATAGTCAATTATCAATTTGCAAATGATGTTTCAGATCTGGAAGTGGGAAGGTGTATCTTACTTTGGTTTTCGGTGCTGGAGAAAAATTGGACACAATGCTCAGTGTGTTTATGCATATGGTACATACATAACACATTCCTAAGTAAAGCCTCAATGTGCTTGTCTTGCTCTTTGGAATAGAAAGGTTTATAGGCAACTTTTTTAAAAGCAACTTCTAGCAAAGTGCTTTAGTATTTTTTTTAATTTTTTAAAAATATTTTAACATCCTCCCCCTTTTCCACCTTGTCAACAAAAGTCTGATAAAAGGAGATAAGCATAGAATTTTAACCAACAAATTCCTGCATCCAGGCAATAGGGCCATGTAGGAAAATCCAAGTAGTGACTTCTTTTTTACAAAAAAATATTCTTTCTGTCAATTAAGCAAGAAAACATCAGCGTCTGCTTTTTATTTTTAGCCACCATCCAAAACACTAAGTCAGCCTATGATTTTACCATCATATACACCAAACAAAGGGGAGGAGGGAGAATATCAGAACTGGTTGTCAGCACTTCAAGCTGCATTTACTCTAGTGCTGACATAAGAAGGAGAGGCGGAGGCGTCTGGAAAGGGATGTTTGACTTTTCACCTACTTATTCTCCCTGGAGGTAATATCCCCTAGGAGATGGGATGGGAGGGGGGAAATTCCTTTGAGCTGGAGCAGTAGATTAGGGGTAAAATGACTTGGAAGATGGCCAATGAGTGCAGGGGAGTGGGGAATGGAAAGGGAGGGTTTGGGGTCTGGAAGTCAGTGTTGGCTTCAATGGAGTCGGGTGTGGAATGTCATGCTTAATAAATAGGAGTTTTCCTTCAAATACTTTGTTTGAAATGCAATTTATTTGAGACGACCTTGAAGCCTGACACTGGTATTGAGTCAAATCATGAAAAAGAGCATCTGGGCATCTTTGGATGGGGATAAATTATTGGATGATTTGAAAAATGCCACATTGATGCATCAAATTGTACACAGGGCTGCCGATCTAAAATTTTATTTCCCTTTAGTTACTTTTCATGCATTTGTCTCTCTCTTTTAGAATGCTCAAGTATTTTACAGAGCCGCTTATTTAGCTGCCTCATTAGTAAATTTAAAGCTATCTTTAAGTAATATTTTTAACATCTTTGTATGGGAACATTTTTGAGATTTTTTAATGGCCTCAGCCCAGAGAAAAAAACATTTCCCCATTTAGGAATGATAGCATCAGAGTTTATGAAATCTGAAGGATCGCATATTCCCCAGTTCTGCAATAGTGGTAGAACAAAATGAGAAACATTCTGATGATGAGTTTTAAAAAGTAGATTTGTTTATTGATTGAGTGATTCAATTTCTATAGCTGCTCATTTCAAGCAATGACTCTGGGCAGCGTATAAAAATCAAGATAGCAGTTACACTGGTGCCAAGAAAGCTCTGTCTGTTTTTGGTCTGCATTGCAATGGTGCCAGCAACAATATCCTATCGATATCCTTGGTTTCAGATTAAGTTCTCCCATATAAACTCTGTTAAACAGTTCAATAATTCAGGAGCACAGGTGCGCAGTGCAACTTGCTTTTGGGGAGACTTGTGTTTCCACAAGTCTACAAAATGTGCTCATTTTGAAACAATCAGTCACTCTGATTCCCACAATGGCTGCAAAAGTTGGTGGAGTTTGCAAGGATGGCTAAATTGAATGCTTTGATTAAAAGTGGGGGGGAGAGAATCACACTTACTTTTGTTTGTACTTGGAAACCGCTTCTGGACTTTGTGCTTGAGATGGAAAAAAAAGTGAAGCTTTGATTTTGGGTTTTACTGATTAGACAGGTTTGTTGTTTTAGAAATGGCTGGTTTATACTGTTATGTAAAAGTTAAAAAGTTGAGGTTTGAGGCTATTATTTTATTTTACTGCACTAAAAGGAGTCGGAAGTCAACATCTTTTCTTTCTTCCCCCCGTCCCCTTTCCCTACACTTTTTCCTTCTCTTTGCCTTCCCCTGCTTTCCTACTATTTTCTTTTGCATATTTTTTTATTTTATATTATAAGCTAATTTAAAAAAAAAAAGGAAACAATCAATGCTAGACAGATTCTGTATCCCACAAATCAAAATATTCAGGACTGTTTTCTGTCTTACTCATTACTTAATTTATGTGGTGGAATACATTGGAACCATATTCCTGCTTAACAAATCACAGTCCGATCCAGTGCCGTCTTCTTCCTTCCATACAGGATCACTGCTATTATAATGGTCACATCCAGAATGATACTGACTCAACTGCAAGCATTAATGCGTGTCATGGTTTGAAGTAAGATACCGTTTTTTCTTTTCTTTTGTTTCGTAAGAATGAAAATATTATTGCTGTTCTCGAAGCTGTCGTAGGTAAAAAGTGGAACATCCATTTCTTATGCAAATTAGTTGCATAACTTCTAAACTTCTGCAGGATTAAGAAAGATTTTGATTGGATACCTAGAAGAGCTGCTGCCAGCCAGCAGAGACAGCAGGGAGCTAAATCAAGGCTAAAGGAGCTTCAAAGACCATGCTTCCTTTGTACAAAGGAGCTGATGTTACAGGAAAAGAAGATAAGTAGGTTTCAGATTGTGAAGGAAGTGTAGGAAGTAGCTAGGAAGTGTACAGGAAGAGACAAGCAGACTTTCAGTTCTATCATCAACACTTTATTGAGCCATTGTGCACACTTTCTCCAACCAGCTAGATACGTATCTTAGCTGTGTAAAGATCCCAAAATTTAGAAGAGCCAGATTATCATTAGCATAAGTCAATGTCCTCCTGACAGCCATTACTGAAGGAAGACACCAAGAGATCCCCTTTGAACAAATATTGTGTCCATGTAGTGGGGGAATAATTGAAATGATAGAATAAGTTGTTGCAGGTGTTATTATCTCAGAACTTTACAAATTATCCTGATAGTTTTGACTCCTAAATTGTTATTATCAGATCAATCTGATTTCATTTCCTTGACTGCAACAAAGTACTCTTCTCCAGTTTGTACAGTACACCCTATTTTCTCTTAGATATTTTAGAACAATTATATTTTTTCCCTCTTTTATCCTAATTAATTGTGACTTTCATGTATTATGTCTTGATCTATGAGCAACAAAATATTGATTTGATTGTCTGCAGTAAGGAAATATATAAGATATATAGCATTTCACCCCTATGAAATAAAGTTTTAGACAAAAACTGAATCTTCCAACATGTGTAGCCTTACATTTTCGTAGCTCGAAATGTTCTCTACTTTTTAAACAATAATTTGGGAATTATACAGTGTTGGATTCCGTGGCAAACTAAATCCATACAAATATTGTATAGATAATTCATCATTGTTCTGAGAATGTGCAATATCTTATATTTTTCTGAGGTTAGCTGTATCTTTGAGAAGCAGGAGAAAGTGGTATGTAAGCTAGGGAAATAAAATAAGACTCAGATTATTTAAGGAGGGATTAATAAAGATAAATTATCTTGACTTTGTTAGTTGAAACTGGCTATTCGTTATGGAATCCTTTGTGTTCTCTGAGCTTAATTGTTTTCTTGCAGATGTTTCATTAACCAACTAAGTAACATCTAGTGCACTAATGATCTTACTAGTTGAGTAATGAAATGTTTGCAGGAAAACAACCAAGTTTAGGGAGCACCAAGAATGCCACAGTTGAACCCTGAGCTCCAAATATTCTTTTCTGTTAGTCTTCCATCTCTAATCATACTTTTAAAAAAGAATCTACAATTGTTTTACAGAGGGTATTTCAAGAATGATGGTGAGAAGTACCTTATCGAACCTTTGAAGCTTTCCAACAGTGAAGCCCATGCACTCTACAAATATGAAAGCCTGGAAAAAGAGGACAAGACCCTCAAAATCTGTGGGGTAACCAACACTACTTGGGAATCAGATGAGCCCCTCAAAAAGACCTCTCGGGCGATCACGAATGCTGAAGTAAGTTTCATATTAAACCCTCAAGAATATAACATGGTTTGAGAACAGGGATTCATTTACTTGTTTCTAAATTGTAAAGTGAAAGAGAAATTCTCTGGGACTGCTAAAAAAAGTCCAGAAGATAGGATCCCTCATTTCTAAAATTCTATTCCACCCACGCTGCATAAGAATATACGGAAACTCAATGAACAGAAAATACGCATCTCACGTTTACGCCATTTTCTATGGTCATGCAAACTTAATTTAGAGAAGGGGTTGTAAAATAGATTCAACTGAATCTCCAACTCATCTCAACTTTCTGAATCAATTTAGAAATACATTTAATCAAATTATCAATTGGAGGCCTCTGTTATCATGCATGCATAGGGGACTTGGGATAGAGGGAGAAACTGGTTTGAAATACTAAATCAAAGTGCTTTGCGATGTCTAATAAGGCCAGTACATAATCTCCATTCAATTTTCCAATATGATTTGTTGGATTGAAGCAAAGATTGAATCAAAATTGACAAAGTGAATCTGGTTAACCATTGCATAATGTCCTCAGGAGAAAGTTCCGGAGAAATTTCTCAGCACATTCTACAGTGCTAAAGTTTTAACAAGCTCTCTCGCTATAAATGTCTTCTTCAAAGAGCCAATATTTCTGAAAGTTCAAGCACTTTGTCCAGGGAGTATAACAAGATTATCTGATGACCCAACATTTCTGTTGACTGCAGGAAGCAACATGTCTAAACAGCTTTTTGTTTAATGTTCTGTTTAGAAAAAGGAATACTTGCAGGCCAAAAAACATGTCGAGCTTTTTATAGCTGTAGACAACAGAGTGGTAAGTATTCTGGATATCAATTTTCTTCCTGCATTGAACGCAACATTTTGTTTTTGTCTTTTTTCAATGTGGGTGTTTTTGAAGGCATCACCAAACACAACATTCTAACTAGATTTTATCCTAAAATATGTGTTAAAATATACTTTGATAATTTTTGTTTTTTTTGTTATTGGACCCGACCCCTATTTACAAAGTTAAGACAGATTTGAAATTCAATTATTCTCTGATTTGTATTAAATTGTTCCTGGATTTTATCTAAATTTTAATGATAGTTTATCCAGAAATGCCCAGTTCAGGAAACTGAAGCTAGTTAACATGAAGAATATGAATGAAGTTTTGCAACAGAAATAAGAGTAAAAGAGAGAATCATCATATACTTCTTCTATCTTTAGAATTTAGCATTCCAAAATCCAGAGCAAAATTCATGAGGAGATTTTTGAATCAGTGGGTGGGTGGGCTTATCTGGATATTTTGCTTTTCCTTATTTTTTTATTTCAAAACCGTTACATTCAAGTTGCTTTTTTAATTGTATTGAAATATAAATATACTTTGGTTTCTATGCCTCCCAGAATATTATTTTTTTATTTACACTTTTGCTTGATTTTTAAAAATAAGTTTCCCAAGCAGAAAGATATTTTAATTTATTTTTTATGAATATATGGATCTGAAATTGATTTTCTCCTTATGTGTGTTGTGTGCAAATATCAATTTCAATTAATAAATTGGTGTAAGAATTCAAAACTATATACTGTTAATTTTCATACTACCATTCAGATTAAATATATTTCTCCACCACTGCTAGCTCGAATAGAAGCTAATCTTTGGCTAATAGACAAATAAGAGCCACGTTTGACTTAGCCAATCTCATTTGCAATAATATAGCATTTGCAATAAAATAACTCTTGGGGGTATTTGAACTCTCTGAATATTTGCACATTTTCCCCCAATAAAATAAAACTATGTTCATGAACTCAGTGAATTTCCAGATACCAGTCTGAGTTTCCCCTTTTAATACTATTGCAAAAGGGAACATCTTATGCAAATTCTTTTCAGGGAAATTGGTCTCAGGCTGGTGGTATTTAAATTCAGTTTGTAGTGAAGAATGCTTATCTCACACTTCTCTGAACAGGGACATATAGTGTCCAATTAAGGAAAGGTTTTCAATAGGCTGACCGAAATTTTCTCCAACCAGGAGGAAAACCCAGGTGTGATGCTGAAAAATTAATGTTAATATATTAATGTAGATTCAAATGTAGGGTTAAACAACCAGCACAAAAAAAATTAACTGGATTGCTTGGACCTAGAAGGAATTATTATCTCCTTCAATCCCTCCATCCAAAAACTTATTATCTCTTCTTAACCTTTTTGTCTTTTCTGAAGTTCAGGAAGTTTAACCGCAACGTGACTGCTGTAAGGCTGAGAGTATTTGATATAGTCAACTATATAAATGTGGTAAGAGGACATGGCAAAAGTTATTTCACTTTTTGATTTTAAACCTCTCGGATTTTCACTGTGTTCACACAACACATTTAACCAGGTAAAGAGGCCTAGGAGATGCACTTCTACAAGAATGTTAACTTTTCCAGTTTTGAGTTCAGCAAAGCTGGGTCATTTGGTAAACCTGGGATCCAGTATGCAAGGCCATTTCAGAAAATGGGTTAGTTCAGTGACTACATTAATAATCCTCTTATGTGAATAAAGTCACTGTGTTGGGAGGATGTATGTCCCAAACTGTTGCAAGAATTCAATCAGTAATACATTTCGGTAACTGGATTCTTTCGGGGCTGTGGTTAATCTGCTTTACTTGAAGTTTAGAGATGATTTTAGTAAGCCCATTTTAAAGTCAACTGATTACGAACATGATCTCTGAGAAGAAAGCAGGAGAGAGGAACCCAGTTTGAGTTGGACTCGCTTAAAAGGAGATCCAATCTAGGGGTGAAGTCCAGCAGGTTCTGACAGGTTCTGGAGAACTGGTAGTGGAAGTTTCGAGCAGTTCGAAGAACCAGTAGCGAAAACTTTGAGCAGTTCGGAGAACCGCTAGTGGAAATTTTGAGTAGTTCGGAGAACCAGCAAATATCACCTCTGGCTGGCCCCAGAGTGGGGTGGGAATGGAGATTTTGCAGTATCCTTCCCTTGGAGTAGGGAGGGAATGGAGATTTTGCAGTATCCTTCCCCTGCCATGCCTACCAAGCCACGTCACGCCCACCAAGCCACGGCTACAGAACCGGCAGTAAAAAAAATTGGATTTCACCACTGATCCAATCATATTCTACTATTATATATTATACTATTATACACATTGTACCTATTAACCTTGTTGTTAACCTATTAATCTTTACTGCTGATGATCAGTTAGAATCAGGGAGACAACAGGAAGACCGGTTGGCCAAATCTCCCTTAAAGTCCTTGGTAGTACAGTGGTCTAAGGCACCCTGTTATTAAGCTGGTTATTAAGACCAGCTGCCTGCAATTACTGCAGGTTCGAATCTCGCCAAGGCTCAAGGTTGACTCAGCCTTCCATCCTTTCTAAGGTAGGTAAATTGAGGACCCAGTTTGTGGGGGCAATAAGCTGACTTTGTATAAAATATACAAAAAGGATGAAGGCTATTGCTTACCACATTGTAAGCCGCCCTGAGTCTCCGGAGAAGGGCGGCATATAAATCAAATTAAAAAAAAAAAATGTCCTCCTCCACTTCTGTTGTTCATGAAGGAAAATAATCACCTGTTTATAGCAATAGCACTTAGACTTATATACCACTTCATAGTGCTTTTACAGCCCTCTCTAAGCAGTTTACAGAGTCAGCATATTGCCCCCAACAATCTGGGTCCTCATTTTACCCACCTCAAAAGGATGGAAGGTTGAGTCAACCATGAGCTGGTGAGATTTGAACTGCCAAACTTCAGCTAGCAGTCAGCTGAAGTAGCCTGCAGTACTGCACTCTAACCACTGCGCCACCTCGGCTCTTTCATTTATTTCTCCTGCTTAAAATATTATTATTATTCTCTAAGTAGAGACCTTGGTGCTGTCCAAGTCTGACTAAATGTCCACAAGCAAACCACTAGGCTCAGAGAGCAACAAGGACTCCACAATTCAAATCTTTGCTCTAGAGATTTTCTTCTATGGATTTCCAAATCTATTCCATTTCACCCACCCATAGAAGCCAATGTCAGTTGCTATTTAGTCTTGAAATGTTTCTCAAAGTTTTCTTGGGTTTGAGTTTCTGATTGATGCCATGTCTACCCCACAGGTTTATAAAGTTTTGAACACTCACATAGCATTGATTGGCTTAGAAATTTGGTCCGATGAAGACAAGATTGTGGTCGACCCAACAGCAGGTGTCACTTTGGACCGCTTTTCGACATGGAGACATTCGGTTTTGTTGAAGCGCAAAAGGAATGATAATGCTCAGTTACTCACGTATGTCTGATTGTGGGGGAAAGGAAGAAATGGGGGTGGCTGGGAGTGGAGGATTATGGGAAAGTTAGTGCTTGCACAGAACTTCCACTCTATGCTGCATGCTTTAAAGCAGAGGTCTTCAAACTTGGCAGCTTTAAGACGTGTGGACTTCAACTCCCAGAATTCTCCAGCCAGCTGGCTGGAGAATTCTGGGGGTTGAAGTCCACACGTCTTAAAGCTGCCAAGTTTGAAGACCTCTGCTTTAAACCATGTGTGAACTATATTTCAAAGCCAACCATTTATTTTTTTATTTATTTATTTTTTTTTTTGTAGAATGAGAGCTGGTTTTGAGAAGTCCTTGAATGATTGCAGGTCAAAAACTCAGCTCGATTTCATTTCATCTGGATTTGAAATTGAAACCGAACTGATTATCCTGTTATGCTTTGGCTGTACTCACGCATGCATTTTTAATCTGATTAAATGATGTTTTGGTTCCCATTCTGTACCAGCTGAATGAATACCTCCATTACATAACAGATAAACCAAGAATAAAATAAAATAATAAAATAGCTAATCTTGAGTTCGACAGGTTGTATAAATCTGTCATCTAGATCTTAATGTGCCCTGGTTATAGATGCTGTGTGAGTTCAGCCTATATATTGCCATACAATTTTTATGAGTGAGAAATTGCAATAGCAATAGCAATAGTACTTAGACTTATATACCACTTTCCAGTGCTTTCCAGCCCTCTCTAAGTGGATTTACAGAGTCAGTATATTGCCCCACAACAATCTGGATCCTCATTTTACCCACCTTGGAAGGATGGAAGGCTGAGTCAACCTTGAGCCTGGTGGGATTTGAACTGCCAAATTGCAGGCAGCTGGCAGTCAGCAGAAGTAGCCTGCAGTACTGCACTCTGACCACTGCGCCACTGTGGCTCATAGTGGTTTGCAAAAGGCATAAGTGGTTACATATGGCTCAAGACTACAGATTGTGCTCCCATCTTCTACAAATTTTATCCCCCTCTTCTTTTGTATAGGGGTATTGACTTCAGTGGACCAACTGTAGGATTGGCTTTTGTTGGTACCATGTGCAGTTCTTCGTTTTCTACAGGAGTTATTCAGGTTGGTAGAAAAACTACCTGTTACTTGGTTATGGTCAATGAAAACACTTTAATGCAGGAATAACTTTATTACAAATAAAGACTCTTCTTATATTTGAGCCACATCATTTTCTTTTTTTCCCCCTAGTTTTTTATTTTAAACAAAGTTAAAAAGACATACATAGACATACAACATATACAAGAATCTTAGTTTCTTTTTCAGCTACTTAACAGTGATCCATTTCTTACTATATATTAATATTTACAGATAAGATAATGTTAACTTGTTCAGCCTTTTTCTCCTATTATATTTCATTTCTACTAACATGTTAATTGATCTATCACATTTTTCTCTTTCCCTTCTTCATTCCTTTAATTTATTTCCTTATTTTTCAGCCATTCATACCAATTATTCCAATTATACCAATTATACCAATTATTTCTCCCGTAGGACTCAAGGCGGTGTATAGTCAAGAAAAATATAGACACACAAACATCATAAAATTGCTAATTAAAATTATTACTTAGTTTGGTCAATTAAATAAAACCCAGAATTAGATAACATTTTAAAAACATTCACATGTTCATATGTTTAGCCCCGCTTGTTGGAATATCAGGGTCTTGGGGGCACGGCGGAAAGCACGGAGATCAGGGATATTCCGTATCTCCGGGGGCAGTTCATTCCAAAGGGTTGGAGTCCTCACAGAGAAGGCCCTCCCCCTGGGAGTCGCCAGTCGACATAATTTGACTGACGGTACCCTGAGTAGTCAAATTTGGTTTTTGGTTTCCTCTTTCCTCTGAATTTCTTTAGTTAGTTTATCCATTCTGCGCATTCCAAAATCTTTTTAATGATATCCTTATCTGGTGGTGATTCTTCTTTCTTCCAGTATTGCGCATATATAATACGTGCTGCCACATCATTTTCATCCACCTACATTTATGAATTTGACATCTCCAAACAATAATTGCCAGCCTCAGTTAAGTTCATAAATTGAGGACTACTGGTGTAATCCTTTAGCTTGAGGTTTCAGTATGCTTTTTAAAAATACTTTTCCATGTTAAAAACCAATCACTGGTAGCAAACCCTGTTGCCTATAGAAAAAAGTAGCATGGTCTGGAATGCTTTCCACTCTTACCCTTTCCACTCCCTTTGAAGCTAGCTTTCAATTTACATTTAATATTTTTTAACGTGGACAAATAAATAATACTTTTAATTAATAAAAATAATAAATAATAGAAGACCCCTTTGTACTCTCACAGCAAACCAGTGAGATAATTGTGGAGAAAGCGCCATCTGAAGTGCTACTGAAAGGAAAACAGTTAGTACGCTTTGTTACTTTAAAAAAAAGAAACTACTTTTTGTAGGAAACCCTATTTCAGCTCTGCAAATTATTAAGCTCTTTGATTTTTCATTAGAAGGTCCTGGAGCAAAGGTTTCAGCTCAGTGCTACTAATAATTGAATTCACTTTTGGTTTCTTGGTGGACTAACAATAGACAAAGTATTCTCTTGTTTTCAGGATCACAGCAACAACCCGATTTCTATTGGGGCAACAATGGCCCATGAGATGGGTCATAATTTTGGCATGGAACATGACTCAGATTTGTGTACTTGTAGCTCTGGCACATGCATTATGACTGCCCAACATAGGTAAGGACTCAGGAAAATTTTTAATGCCTTTTCAAATCGAGCGATTTTCAAACAGTTGCAGTTAACAATAGTGTAAAGAAATAGCATAGGAAGCATGGAATGGAGAGGAGAGGAGAGGAGAGGAGAGGAGAGGAGAGGAGAGGAATGGAATGGAATGGAATAGAGAGGAGAGGAGAGGAGAGGAGAGGAGAGGAATGGAATGGAATGGAATGGAATAGAGAGGAGAGGAGAGGAGAGGAGAGGAGAGGAGAGGAGAGGAGAGGAGAGGAAGGAGAGGAGAGGAGAGAGAGAGAGGAATGGAATGGAATGGAATAGAGAGGAGAGGAGAGGAGAGGAGAGGAGAGGAGAGGAATGGAATGGAAATGGAATAGAGAGGAGAGGAGAGGAGAGGAGAGGAGAGGAGAGGAATGGAATGGAATGGAATAGAGAGGAGAGGAGAGGAGAGGAGAGGAGAGGAAAGGAAAGGAAAGGGAAAGGGAAAGGAAAGGAAAGGAAAGAAAGGAAAGGAAAGGAAGGGAAAGGAAAAGGAAAGGAAAGGAAAGGGAAAGGTCTCAGGAATTGTCTGTTGCAAAACACCCAAATCTTTTGTATAAGATTTTTGTACAGCCTCAGTGAACATGCCACCTGTTGCCTCATATTTTATGCAATGGCGATGAGTTCAGGAAGTATTGAGAATGCTATGTAACCTTTCCTGTCCTTACTGAAGGATTTTTTGTGCGTCATGATTACTTTTTTTAATACTTCAAAACCACTTTGTGGTATTTTGTACAGAAGGCCTTGCATAGAGAACAGTTTGCTCAATAAACTCCACTTAATGGGTCTGGTGCAACTTTGATCTTGAAAGAAGACCTGTCTCTGTAATGGCGCCCCAGCAGATCATCTTTGGGTTCTTGCTTTCACACTCTAATTTGAGGGCCAATAATTATATTCCTACAGGGATGCGGTGGCTTAGTGGCTAAGACACTGAGCTTTTCGATCAAAAGGTCGGCAGTTCAGCAGTTCAAATCCTTAGTGCTGTGTAATGGGGTGAGCTCCTGGTACTTGTCCCAGCTTCTGCTAACCTAACAGTTCAAAAGCATGTAAAAAATGCAAGTAGAAAAATAGGGACCACCTCTGGTGGGAAGGTAACAGCGTTCTCAATGCCTTTGGCATTGAGTCATGCTAGCCACATGACCATGGAGACGTCTTCGGACAGCGCTGGCTCTTCGGCTTTGAAACGGAGATGAGCGCTGCCACCTAGAGTTGGGAACGACTAGCACATATGTGCGAGGGGAATCTTTACCTTTACCTTAATTATATTCCTAATGATTTGTAATAGCATTAGGAAGGGGCTTGGATGGACTTGGTGATAGCATGTTTGCATCTCTTTAAGTATGCAATTTCAGAAGTCAGTGGCAAGTTGCTAATATTATGACCTTTTCAACAAAAGAAAACCAATAGTATAATAACTCTCCTTTGCCTTAGAACATTCATTCGTTATAAAAAGTACAAGCCTTTCTTCTCCAAAAGAAGAAAAGAAAAAGAGAGTCAAGATTTCACTGTTTCCCCTTCAATTATATTATTGCTCCTTCTTCTTCGTCACATCAGCAACGTCACTGTATCATTTCCAGCCCCCCCCCCACTTCCACAGTGAGACTGACTAAAAATGAAAACAAAAGGCAGCCCACTCAAAGACAAGAAGTAGCTTAAGCAACTAACACCACATGGAGTTCTCATTGCAAATTCATTGCGTTAAAAAAAGGAAAAAAAAAACTTAAGTGGAATTAAAACTGAGGGAGCATAATCTAGGAGTAAGATCAAGGGGTATAAAGCAGGGGTGAAATTCAGCAGGTTCTGACAGGTTCTGGAGAACCGGTAGCGGAAATTTTGAGTAGTTCAGAGAACCGGCAAATACCACCTCTGGCTGGCCCCATAGTGGGGTGGGAATGGGGATTTTGCAATATCCTTCCCCCAGGAGTGGGGGGGGGGAATGGAGATTTTGCAGTATCCTTCCCCTGCCATGCCCACCAAGCCATACCCACAGAACCGGTAGTAAAAAAAAAATTGAATTCCACCACTGTACAAAGAGTTCTCTTAGCTATTTTGTTAGCTTTAGAGAGAAAAAACACTGCTTTGTTCATTAGCCATTTTTTTCCTATCTTATATGTTTTTGCGATGAATTCTGTTCCTGGTCCAAATATAGATGATGTCATGATCTCATATTGGTTCACCTTTACAGCTATAAACCTCCCCAGGACTTCAGTTCTTGCAGTTTCCAGGAATATCAGAACTATATCATAACTAAAACCCCACAATGCATCATCAACAGACCCTCGAGCAAAGATATAGTTTCACCTCCAGTTTGTGGGAATGACTTCGTGGAGGAAGGAGAAGAATGTGACTGCGGCTCTCCAAAGGTATGTCTTTTTTTTTTTAATGAACAAGGGTGGTTCCAAGAAGTTTGTCAAAAATAGGAATCCTTGCAAAATCATCTGTTTTTTCTAACTAGTACAAGCTGGCCAATAGGTTAGTTTGTGAATGGCATAGTTTGTGCCAGTGGTGAAATCCTCCCCTGTTTGCCACCAGCTCCCTACCCATGCATGCGCGGTGCGCATCAAATGCACACTGCACACACATGTGCAGTACACACCAAATATATGCTGCGCACGGAAAAAGGAGGCTTGGGAAGGTAAGTAGAACGGCGAGGGGCAGACAGCCGTGCCGCAGAATTTCCTGCTTTCTAGCGATTTTAAATTGCACGGCACAGCTGATCGTCAGAAATACCGGTTCGGATCAACCGGTAGGTTTTTTTTTTTTTTTTACTACCGGTTCGCCAAACTGGTAGCTTTTATCACTACCAGTTCACCCGAACCAGTTCGAACCGGTAGGATTTCACCACTGGTTTGTGCCCTTTATGTACATTTTTATTTTTATTTTTTATTTAGTTAGTTAGTTAGTTAGTTAGTTAGTTAGTTAGTTAGTTAATTAGTTAGTTAGTTTGTCAAACATGTACGAGATAATAAGTATAAGTATAAAACTTGGACATGAACACAGGAAATGAGTACATGTATTATGCAGTGGTTTCATGGATTTGAGAAACCAGTTGTAGAGGAATGGAGAACTGACATCTTACTATTATTTTGGGAAGACAATGTATTTTTTTTAAATGGGTGATTTATCACTCCAAGAAAACCCTTCCCTACTGAAAACCCCTACTCAAAGGAATGGCCGCATTACTTTGTTAACATGGCCACATTATCTGTCCCCACTATTTTCTTGAGCTGCTTTGTCCCAGAATCTGTGATGTTCAATCTCTGCTTTCAACGGGTAGTTCTCAATGGAAACTACATTTGCATGGAGGGAAGTGTGTACCGGGGTATCTCAATGTTCTGTCTTAGGCCCAGTTCTCTTCAACACCTTTATAAATGATCTAGATGAGGGGATAGAAGAGAAACTGATCAGATTTGCAGATGATACCAAACTGGCAGGAATTGCGAACACTTTGGAAGATAGGCTCAAGAGCTAGAATGATCTAGACCAGTGTTTCTGAACCTTGGAAGCTTGAAGATGGGTGGACTTCAACTTCCAGAATCCCCCAGCCAGCGCTGCTGGCTGGGGGATTCTGGGAGTTGAAGTCTACCCATCTTCAAGCTTCCAAAGTTGAGAAACACTGGTCTAGACAGACTTGAACACTGGATCCTACCCAACAAAATGCAGTTCAGTGTCAAGAAAAGTAAGGTTTTATAGGAAGAAAAGATACAGAGTACCACCTACTCTGTATCTTTTCTTCCTATAAAGTCACTGGCTCAACAGCAGTGACTTTGAAGGGATTTAGGTATTCTAATAGACAATCATTAATTATGAGCCAGCAGTGTGCTGCTGGTGCCAAAAAAGCCAATGCAGTCCTAAGCTGCATAAGAAGAGGAATAGTAGATCAATAGAGGAATAGTAGATCATGTGAAGTATTAGTGCCACCATATAGTGCCTTAGTAATACCACACTTGGAATACCACATCTACTTGTGATCACCAAAATATAAAAAAAGGTGTTGAGACTCTAGAAAGAGAGCAGAAAAGAGCAACAAATATGATAAGAGATCTAGAGGCTAAAATGTTCTGTCCCCGTCGCACGCACACCACAAACACACACACAAACAGCAGCCAGGAGTTAATGAATCAAACAGTCAGGAATTCCTTTAAGATAACAGTTTCGGCAGCGACCCATGAACTGCCTGCCAAGAGATTTTACTCACTAAGGGAGGTTTTTTCTCCTCAGTCCGATATACCAAATTAATTCCACAAAGCAAAGAATTGTCAAAGTCCAGTCCGAAGAAATCCAAAAGAGATTCTAACAGGGTTCTGGAAACACGATATGACTTTTGAGAGCTTTTCAATTTGTCCATCACAAGGCTTCAATAGCCGACACACCCCCTTTTATCCCTTGTGGGGTGTGGTCCAGTGACTCAGCTCAATCTCTGGCCCGCCCACGCCTCTTTCTCTGCTGCACACGCTTATCCTTCCGACGCTGTCTGGGATCCAGCCAAAACTCATCCCCCTCACTCTCTATTTGCGGCTGCTCTGAAGTGCCTTGCTCCTGGCATATCTTTTGGCCTTCGGAGGAAACCTGAGGCATTGCCAGAGAGGAGGGTCCTGGAGAGGGAGGCCTTGCCAAATCCTCTCCTTCACCTTCTGAGTCCTCTCCCTCTGTTAGGACAAGCTCGGGGGGTCGGAGTCACAACACTAAAACATATGATGAACAGTTTTAGGATCTGGATATGTCTAGTCTAATGAAGAGAAGGATTAGGTGACATGGATAGCAGTCCTACAATATTTAAGAGGCTGTCACAAAGAAAAGGGAACAACCAGTCTCCAAAGCACTTGAGGGCAAGACAAGAAGTAATGGATGGAAACTTATCAAGCAAAGATCCAACTTAGAACTAAGGAGAAATTTCCTGACAGTGTGAACAATCGATCAGTGCAATGGCTTGAATTCAGAAGTTGTGGATGCTCCATCACTGGAGGTTTTTAAGATGAGATTAACAGCCATTTGTCTGGAATGGTATAGGGTCTCCTGCTTGGGCAGTCGGTTGGACTAGAAGATCTAGTAATTTTACACACAAACTGTAATTTAGTAAAGTGTTCTCCTTAGATTGTTAAGAGGAGTCAGTGGTAATTGTGTAGTGGTCTGTGAGAATGTCCTTGGGTGACAGAAGGACAGACTAGGTCAGGGGTCTGCAACCTTAAACACTCAAACACTCAAAGAAAAGAAAACTCTGGGAGCCACAAAACCCTTCCCATGCCTGACTATTTCCTGAACGGCCACAAAATTAGCATAAGTAGTTGAATTAAAAGTTCTGTTTTCTTCTGAAACTTTTCTTTTCTTGGATTTATCCATGGTTGGCCTACTGGGAGTTGAAAAGCTCAGTAAATTGTGTGCAGGCAAGTGTCGCACATTGGCGGTTGAGACGCATATTTTGCGTGACAGGGAGCCGCAGCAGAGGGGTGAAAGAGCCACATGCAGCTCCAGAGCCACAGGTGCTGACCCCGGACTAGATAGTGGTCAGATAAGAGGTAGCTTAGCCTGCAGAAGTAATGCAGCATGGAAAATATCTCAAGAGGAACACCTCCCACCCATTTTTGTGGACCATAAAGACAAGGGGAAGAAATGTACTTTCAGGCTTGAAAGATTCAATTATTGTAATCTTACAATAAAGCTGGTATTAATACTCATGGTTGCTGCTCCTCCTCTGGACTACCTCAAAGGGTAGTTGAGTAGAAAATTATTCCGTTCGTGGAACAAGGCAGAGGAAAGGAGGCCAGGCAATAAACAGTTACACTTGTTTATTAGGCTATCCGTGACTCGCTCTGTTTGCTTATGGCTTGGCTAGAGCGAGAGAGATTCTGAGGCACTGACAGCTCTTTTATACTCACCTGTCAGTGCACGGACCAATTGGCAGGTCTTGATTTCCTGCCGGCGAATTGCCGGTGATTGGACCAATCAGCGGCTTTTGCTTCCTTGCATAAGGTACGATCATACGCAACAAAAATTATGAGAATAAGCAAGAGAAAAGCAAGGCTGCAGGTTAGGCGGGCTTCACAATTAGGAGGTGAGGATGCTTTTATTTATTTTATTCTTTTCACAGAAGAAGTTATCAGATAATATTTCACATAGATATGCCGCCATCCGTTTGCCATAACAAACACTCGGGTAACTGTTAGTCACATTCATTTTCTAGCATGAATCCATAAGAGGGAGCGCATGGCAGAAATATCAGTTCTCCTTTTCAAAATACTGTAGACCAGTTAAAAGAGACCAGGAAGAAAAGCTTATAATGTCATATTGATACGTGGTTTTCAGGAATGTAAAAATGAGTGCTGCGATGCTGCAACTTGTAAACTGAAACCTGGGGCAAAGTGTGGACATGGGGAGTGTTGTGAGAAATGCCAGGTAAGCCTTGTTCATTTTTTAACACCAGGAGAGATTTTACCTTGCACCTTACTAGCCTCATGAAAATGGGATCCCTCTTGGCGTCTTACTGTGGAACAAAAATATTCGAATTCTGTTCCTATCTCTTCCTCCAGCTTATTGGATCCTTAAGATCTCCAACCTTGGCAACTTTAAGACTTGTGGACTTCAACTTCAGCTTTGCTGGCTGAGGAATTCTGGGAGTTGAAATCCACAAGTTGCCAAGGTTGGAGACCCCTGCATATGAACATATCCATAGGGAGGACAGTTTAGCAAAATTTCAGCATTGCACTCTCACAGTCTAAAATACACTTGCTGTGAAAATAATATATATCCTTCTTTGACTGAGTTTGCATGGACACCCAGTTTAAAAGGGTTTAAGCCAGGGGTGAAATCTACTTACCAGCTGATCATCAGCCGCACATACATATTTTCCCACCAGTAAGTTCTCCAACTGCTCCCCAAACCTCTAAATTCAGTTATTTTGGTGGCACATTCTATAGGTGCTGCAGGACCATGGTGAGAAGTGCAAATTGCTCATTCCTTCAATCCCAGTTGACCCTGTAATGAAGTTTTTGAGCAGAAGCAATAACAATAGCACTTAGACTTATATACTACTTCACACTGCTTTTACAGTCCTCTCTAAACTGTTTAGAGAGTCAGCCTCTTGCCCCCAACAATCTGGGTCCTCATTTTACCCACCTCGGAAGGAAGGAAGGCTGAGTCAACCTTGAGCTTGGTGAGATTCGACCTGCCAAATTGCAGGCAGCCGGCAGAAGTAGCCTGCAGTACTGCACTCTAACCACTGCACCACCAAGGCTCAAAACATTTTTTTTCCCCAGCAAAAATATGGAACGCTTCACTAATTTGCATGTCATCCTTGTGCAGGGGCCATGCTAATCTTCTCTGTATCGTTCCAATTTTAGTACATGTGCTGCTGAAGCGAGCACAAGGCTCAAAAGGGCCCAAAACATTTTGTTCTTTCCATCACAAGCCTAGATTCACAGCAGCCACATTTTTTTCATCACATCGAGAAAATTATTTATTTTGCATCTGGCATAACATACACGAACTTACAACTCACATGAACATTTCACCTAAATTAAAAATACAGTAAAATATGAATGTTAAAAAGCTCTACTGTATATTCAGATCATGTCTAGGTCGCTGATATAAGGAAATAAAAATATACCATGCAAATGTTCAGAAATTAACTTTTTGCTACTTTTTCACAAGAGCCAAATTGACTTTCAGGGTCAGCTAACATTTGGAACTTGTATTTCAGGAACTGAGCCTTTCATGGCAAGTATTTTTTCATAGCAAATAAGAGAAGCTGGGACTTCTAGGAATTACACACAATGTCTTAAGACCTGGAAGCCATTTGTAACATAGCAGCGATGCGTGTTGTGATCCACTGGCGGCCTGTGGAGCTGGCAGCAGAGTCGGACAGTGAGGAGGTTGGGGAGGAACATGGGCCAATCCTGGAGTCTGGGGAAGGCTCGGATGAGGGCTCTGCATCGGAGGCAGAGAGGAGGCCAGGGCCATCTGGGAATTATGTGCTGCCTCTGGAGCCTCCAGAGTCGGACATCAGCGAGACAGAGGAACAGGGGGAGCCTGTTCCCAGTGCGCGCATGCGCAGAGCTGCCAGAAGGCAAGAACAGTTAAGACAAAAGGGACGACCCGGGAGTAGGGCTTTGGAGATGATTGGCCCCTTCCATAAGACATAAAGGAGGAGCAAAGGAACGTGAGCCTTTGTAGGAAGCAACTTTGTTCATTCTGGTCGGTTTAAATTCTGAAGCTCCGTTTTGACTCTGTGCTCCGTGTGGCCTTGCAAAGCTAATTGCCAATTATTTATTTTATTTATTTTATTTTATTGAATTTCTATACCGCCCTACTCCCGAAGGACTCAGGGCGGTGAACAGCCATGAAATAAAACACATACATATACAAAATTTAAAATCGAATAAAATGAATTAAATAAATTTGGCTGAATTGATACCCATAATTTAAAATACCCATATTTTAAATACAGTAAAAATTTAAAATTTAAAATTTACACTTAAAAGGGAGAAGTTTTAGGCGAGGCCAGCTTGATGAAATAAAAGAGTCTTCAGCTCGCGGCGGAAGGTGCGCAGATCCGGAATCCTCCGTATCTCTGGGGGAGCTCATTCCAGATTGTCGCTGCCCGCACAGAGAAGGCTCTCCCCCTAGGGGCCGACAGCCGACATTGTTTGGCCGACGGCACCTGGAGGACCCCCTCTCTATGAGAGCGTACTGGTCGGTGGGAGGCTATTGACGGTAGTAGGCGGTCCCGTAAGTAACCAGGCCTAAGCCATGGAGCGCTTTAAAGGTGGTAACCAGGTCTTTGGCAGCGTGTCAAGGGAGATAAAGGTGGGTGCTTATCAGCCTTATCCCGAAGGACTGTGGCAGACTTCTGTCGGACTCTTTACAAACTATTTGTGACTCATTAAGGGCTGTGAATGAACCTAATTCACAGCGGTTGAAAATAAAAAGAGGGTTTTTGAGACGAATTGTGTGCTTTTTACTGTCTCAGGAAGCCTAGGTCGGAACAATGCCTTGATTGGTAACCCTCAAGACAGATGAAGAGGAGGCTTTGAAATGTGTTGTGAATCATGGTTTAGCTCTTTGACCTCTGCTGCTAAAGAGTGGTAACTGGGAATATTTTTCATTCTCGCCCACAGCTTAAGAGAGCAGGAGCAGTATGCCGGGCAGTGAAGCATGACTGTGACTTGCCTGAAATGTGCACTGGCCAGTCTGCCCAGTGTCCCTTGGATCGCTTCCGTATCAATGGACACCCATGCCAAAACAACCAAGGTTACTGCTACATGGGGAAGTGTCCCACCTTGGCAAACCAATGTATTTCTCTCTGGGGCCCAGGTAAGTCAATCTTAGGATTTCAGAATAGTGGTATTGCGAAATGAAGTGAAGCGAAGCGAAGCGAAGCGAAGCAAAGCAAAGCAAAGCAAAGCAAAGCAAAGCAAACCCCTAAGACAATCATTTGTATCGATCGAAGACATTTTCTTCTTTTCATTTCTGTTCCATTTGTGTTTTGTTCATAATCTTTCAAGATGAACTTCTTTCTTTGGAGGTTTTAATGCTCACTCCTCCAGATCTTTTGCTTTAAAGCTCCAAATGTTTTTTGTTTTTGTTTTTAATTTGATTTATATGCCGCCCTTCTCTGGAGACTCAGGGCGGCTTACAAGGCGTTAAGCAATAGCCTTCATACTTTTGTATATTTTATACAAAGTCAGCTTATTGCCCCCACAAACTGGGTCCTCAATTTACCTACCTTAGAAAGGATGAAAGGCTGAGTCAACCTTGAGCCTGGTGAGATTCGAACTTACTTTAATTGCAGACAGCTGAATGTTAATAACAGGTTATTAGTTTGCTGTGCCACCAGGCTCCTAGAGAACCTGGCCTGATGGTTAAAGATGATAGCAATTGTAGACCAGAAATCTGAAAAGAGTGACTTTTGGGGAAGGATGCATCCCAAATTGCACGAAGATGTGTGTGTGTGTGTGTGTGTGTGTGTGTGTGTGTGTGTGTGTGTGCGTACACACATGCATGCATGCCATAAATAGATCGTTATTTTGTATATTGTAGCAACAGCTCAAAATTATTCTCCAATACTCTTTGTCTTAAATCAACGGGTGTTGTGAAGCAAGGCAATACTGCTACTGGAGAAGCTAGCTTTTAACACTGATCAGCTGTAGGGCGGCCCTTTGAAGCCCCTCGGCAAGAGTTTAAACAGTTTTTTTCCCTCTAGTCATCAGCTGGGACTCAGGAGGCAGCAATAGATTGGGGGTGGGACCAAATAAAAGGTAAGAATAATGTGGGTGGGGGGGGAGGGCGGGGGTGAGAACCGGTTTGGTGACATCATATCATCACCGCTACCGGCTCAGCTGAACCGGACCGAACCGGGATGAACCCACCACTGGTCCTGACCCATAACTTGTGTTTTTTTCAGGCTGATTGTTAGTCCAAAGTCTTGACAGGCCTTGCTAAAACTGTAATATAATATATAAGTAACGGGTTACAAAATAATTGGTTACAAATAAGTGAACATTAACTAAATTATTTGGAACTCCTCTGAGACGTCTTAAGCCATTTCTTTATCCTACTGGCATGTTACACATTCAAGTATTTTTTGTTTCTTCCTCGCTCCCTCTTACAGGTGGGAAAGTGGCTGCAGATTCCTGTTTTGGGGTCAACCGGAAAGGGGTTTATTACGGCTACTGCAGAAAAGCAAATGGCACATACTTTCCATGTAAAACCAACGTAAGCAGTCTAAATTATTTCCTACTATAGCAAAAATAGCACTTAGACTTATATACCACTTCACAGTCATCTCTAAGCCATCTCTAAGCAGTTTACAGAGTCAGCATATTGCTCCAACAATCTGGGTCCTCATTTGTTATGATGATCATGTAAGGCAGGGGTGAAATGCTCCTGGTTCGGACCGGATCGCCCAATCTGGTAGCGATGGTGGCAGGTGGTTCGGAGAATCGGCAGCAAAAATTCCTGCACCCACCTCCCACCCCCATGCCCAGCTGAGCCGCACGATCATCAGAGGCTTTTTTTTTAACTTTTAAAAGCATTTTTTCTACAACCTCTTCCGACGAAAAAATGCTTTTAAAAGTAAAAAAAAAAAAAGCCTCTGATGATCGTGCGGCTCAGCTGGGATCATCAGAGGCTTTTCAAAGCATTTTTTTCTGCAACCTCTTGGCCGAAGAGGTGGTAAAAAGATGCTTTGAAAAGTCTCTGATGATCCCAGCTGAGTTGCCTTATTTCTAGTCTAGTCTAGTCTAGTCTAGTCTAGTCTAGTCTAGTCTAGTCTAGTCTAGTCCTTATTTCTATTCTATTCTATTCTGTCCTGTCCTGTCCTGTCCTGTCCTGTCCTGTCCTACCCTACCCTACCCTACCCTACCCTACCCTACCCTACCCTACCCTACCCTACCCTACCCTACCCTACTCTATTCTATTCTATTCTATTCTATTCTATTCTATTCTATTCTATTCTATTCTATTCTTGTTCGTTAAAAGGAATTGGTTATTTCCTTTTCAGGGCTATTAAATGTGGCAAGCTATATTGCATAGGTGGTTCGGAAATGCCCGTAGGTGGAAGCCTGGTGGAATTTGGTTCATGCAGAGGCAGCTTTGCAAGAGGAGGTGAACAAGATGTTGGAATGGTTGATCCTGGAACAAAATGTGAAGAAGGAATGGTTAGTCAAAGATTACGTCTAATCTGTGTGCTGAAAAGGGTTATCATTAAAACAATTTGGCAATGGCTCTTGCTGAAAGCTGGTTTAGATTTTTGCATACTACAGTGAATCTATGTAGAAGGAAAGAAAATATCCATCTAGCCTTCTTCTTGTTTTTATTGTTTTGTTTTTCCTGCAGACAACAACCACAACAAATCCGCATTAGCAATAGCATTTGGACTTAAATATTGCCCCATGGTGCTTTAAGCACTTTGGAATGTCAGCATATTGCCCCCAACAATCTGGGTTCGCATTTTACTGACCTTGGAAGGATGGAAGCCTGAGTCAACCTTGACTCCCACCAGGATCCAACTCCAGGCTGTGGGCGGAGTTAGCTTGCAATACTGCATTCTAACCACTGCACCACCAAGGCTCCTCAGGTGAATGTCCAGGACTGTTTCGTTCTTCTAAGAACAAAATGCCTGGCCTTCTCAGAGCCTTGTGACTCTCCCTTTCTGGACAGAGACAGTCCTTTCTCTTCACTTGTAGGTATCTCCATAGGGAAGGTGAAGAGAGATGAGACAATCAGGGATAGAACTGGTTCAGTAGTGGGTTCCACTTACCTTCACTACCGGTTTGGAATTGGGACCACGTGCTTGTTCGCTTCACTCGCGAACCTTCTGCACATGTGCAAAGCATCCGTGATGACATCCGAGTGGGTGGGCAATGCTTTCCCGCCGCCACCAGTATTGGATCGTTCAAACTGGGGCGAACCGGTAGAAATCCACCACTGAACTGGTTGTGACCTAAGGGACACCAGTTCAGTGTGAAGCCACTTAGAAGTGCTGAAGCAATTCCAAAGCTTAGATTCCAAAGAATCAGGAATCACACAAACACTCCCTGTCTTTTTACGCAGTGTAGAACTTGGAAGAAATTTATTTTTTTTATAAAGTTTTTATTATTTTTTTAAACAAACAAACAAACATTTAAAACATCAATCAGCCCTCCCCTGTGACATCTCAGTGTTGAATTCTTCAATTCATTTTATTCTTCTTGTTCCAACAGTTTCTTCTGTCTTAGTCGTCTTCAAAACCTCTGTACAAATTCATTACTACAATCATATTCTTACTATCAGGTTTTTTTATACATATTTATAAAATTAATCATTTATATCTCTTTATATCAACCAAGAATAAAAATAATCCCATATTTTAAAGTATTCTGATTCTTCCCTATTTTTAATCAATAAAGTTAATCGATTCATTTCAGCGCCATCTAAGATCTTTCTTATTACTTCATCTTCCGAAGGTATTTTCTCTAATTTCCAATTTTGAGCATAGACAATTCTTGCAGCTGTTATTACATGTATAATCAAATAAATACATTCCCTTTTAATTTTGTCAGGTAGGATACCCAATAGAAACAACTCTGGTTTGAATTCAATACGTATTTGTATCATCTCTTCCAGCCAGATTTTAATTTTATTTTGGAAGAAATGTATTGAATATCCTGGTTTTGTTCTAGAGAATGACAGAGTTTAATTGTTTAGTTTAGTTTAGTATAGTTTATTCATACTTATATGCCGCCCTTCTCCCGAAGGACTCGGGGTGGCTCACAAAGATAAAACAACGGAACAATAAAATTAATACTAAAATAATCCAATTAAAATCCCCAAGAAGTTAAAACTAAGACTCCCAGCAGATCAGGCAATTTGTTGGAAAAGCCATGTCTTCAGGTCACCGCGGAAAGAGCGGAGGTCGGGGGCCGTCCGGAGCTCAGTGGGTAACCCATTCCAGAGGGTCGGTGCGCCCACAGAGAACGCCCTCATCCTGGGCGCCATTAGCTGACATTGTCTGGCCGAAGGCACCCGGAGGAGGGCAGTCCTATGTGAACGCACTGGGCGGTGGGAGGCCAGTAGGAGGTGATCCTGCAAGTACCCCGGGCCTGTGCCATGGAGGGCTTTATAGGTAAGTACCAGCACCTTGAAGTGGATCTGAAGGACCACCGGTAACCAGTGCAGCTCACGCAGGAGTGGTGTAACACGGGAGTAGCGGGAAGCTCCCGTAACAACCCATGCGGCTGCATTCTGCACCAGCTGGAGCCTCCGGGTGCACCACAAGGGCAGCCCCATGTAGAGGGCATTGTGTCGGAAACTGCTGTCTTATTCTATTCATAATCTTTTACTTTTGACTTTCAGGTCTGCAACAACGGGCAGTGTGTTGAGATAGAAACAGCCTACAGATCGACCAACTGTTCCCACAAATGCACAGGAAACTCTGTAAGCATTTTGTATTTTATATTCTGGCTAAAGAATTCTCCATGCTCTTTAAGACTGTTCTGCTTTCGGCTTGGCCTATAGCAGGGATGGCTAACCTTTTCCGGACCAAGTGCCCAAAGCATGAGTGTGCCTGCCCGAACCCCCCAAATGCAATGTGTGGGCGGCCCTCCGCATGTGCCCTGCCCTCATGCATGTGAGCGCCCCCCCCTGCATACACACTCACACACTCACACACCGCACATATGCGCAGCAGAGACCTGAAGACCAGCTGGCCGGGGGGAGGCATGCGTGCATGCTTGGCAGAGCTGAACTGGGGTGACAGCTCGCATTCCCACAGAGAGGGCGCTGTGTGCCACCTCTGCCATGCATGCCATAGGTTCACCATCACGGGCCTATAGAAAACTTACAGGTAATCCTTGATTTACAACAGTTCATTTAGAGACCATCCGAACTGCCCTAAAGACGTTTTTGTTTCATCAAGCCGGGCTGGCCTGACCTACTCTTTTTAAAAAGAATTGTTTTAAAAATTAGGGGTTTTAATATAGGGTTTTTAACTATGGGCCAAATTGATTTAATTGGATTTTAATATTGTTTTAAATTTTGTATCTGTGTATTTTATTTGCTGGCTGTTCACCGCCCCGAGTCCCTCGGGAGAGGAGGCGGTATATAAATATAATAAACTAACTAAACTAACTAACTAAGCATTCAAAGCTACAACAGGATTGAAAAAAAGTGATTTATGACTGCTGTTCACACTTATGACCATTGCATCATCCCTGTGGTCATGCTTGGACGCTAGGCAACTGATTTATATTGATTGATTGATTGATTGATTGATTGGTTCGATTTATATGCCTCCCTTCTCCGGAGACTCAGGGCGGCTTACAATGTATTAAGCAATAGCCTTCATACTTTTTTGTATATACCTGCTTAGTAGGGCTTTCGCCCCCACCCCCAAGCGGTGTTCTATTTTATACAAAGTCAGCTTATTGCCCCCACAAACCGGGTCCTCATTTTACCTACCTCGGAAGGATGGAAGGCTGAGTCAACCTTGAGCCTGGTGAGATTTGAACGCACAGTAATTGCAGGCAGCTGGCAGCTAAGTGCTATTTAACAGTGCTTTAGTCCGCTGCTCCACCAAGGCTCCAGCGGACTAACTATTTATGATAGTTGCATTGTCCTGGGGTGGCCTGATCAACCTTCTGTGATCTTCTTACAAGCAAAGTCAATTGGGAAGCCAGATTCCCTTAACAGCCATGTTACTAACTTAACAATTTCAGTGATTCACTTAACAACTGTGGCACGAAAAATTGTAAAATGGGGCAAAACTCACTTAACAAACATTTCACTTAACAACATGACGTTGATGAGGTTGACATCTATGCCTAAATATGTTTGTTGCACTAAAAAAGTAAATGAGCATTATTATGATTATAATTTTACAACTAACATCTATACAGCAACTTCGAAAGTAAAATCCATCAATGGAAATAATTTTCATTGAAGGCAGAATCGGAACTAAATGAAAAATGGTTTGTTGAGTTGAGGGTTAGGTAAAACTTTACTACACGCAAAATTTACAAAATTTCCCTTTTATTCTTTTCTTTTTTCTGTGGTATTGTTCTCTTTTTTCTTTGTTCTCTTTTCTTAAACAAATAAAGACCTCCCCCTCAAAAAAGTGCTTTCCAGAATCCTTGATGCTAAAAATATTTCATTTTTTTCTCTAAGTGTGAGTAGAACTTAGAAAGAGATGAACCTCTATATTTACCAAGCCCAGAATAATTTATGGCTTTAAAGTCTGAATTATATTAAACTGAGCTTTACAATTAACAGGTAGCAATGGAATTAGATCAGAATCTGGTGTCATAAATTAGAATAGTCAAATACCAATAAATCAAATGAGAATGCCCCCTCTCTCATGGCCTTTAAGAGGCTGTGAAGATCTGGCACTTCCAGAAGGTTTTTGAGGACTAAAAATGAAGTCAACCAATAACAAAATTAAATTTTATTGTATTGAATTATATGGTTCTACCTCATCGTTTTTGAATTAACATCATTGTGCTATTTTAATTTTGGTGCATTTTGATAGAGTCTGATTGGAGTGGGGCAGTAAATAAACTGGATGGATGGATGGATGGATGGATGGATGGATGGACAGAAGGAAGGAAGGAAGGAAGGAAGGAAGGAAGGAAGGAAGGAAGGAAAGAAAGAAAGAAAGAAAGAAAGAAAGAAAGAAAGAAAGAAAGAAAACTATTTTCTCTAAGTTAATATTTTCCTGATACCTTTGGCCATCACAAGAAACCTCAAAGCTTGATTTAGTTCTTTTCATTCTGCTGTACTGTAGAAATGCTTTGACCACAACTCTCATAATATCAAAAGAGAAACATCTTGTCCATGCTGTACTGTTGTTAGAATTAGTCTAATAACTCATCTGACCATCAGATTAAAGAATAGTGACTAGGCTATTTAGATGTGGACTAAACAGTGCCAACAGCTTTGGTAGAAACCCTTAATTTCTTTTTCTGTGTGGGATGTTTAAATGGATTTCCATCTTTTTGTCTGCCTAATTAACAATAGCAATAGCACTTAGATTTATATACCGCTTCATAGTGCTTTTACAGCCCTCTCTAAGCAGTTTTACAGAGTCAGCCTCTTGCCCCCAACAATCTGGGTCCTGATTTTACCCACCTCGGAAGGATGGGAGGCTGAGTCAACCTTGAGCCTGGTGGGATTTGAACTGCCAAATTGCAGGCAGCCAGCAGTCAGCAGAAGTAGCCTGCAGTACTACACTCTAACCACTACACCACCGTGGCTCAGTTTTAGGTTCAGTTTTATGGTTTAGTATTTTCTGCCTTCTTCAGACTTCATAAAAATACAAGAGAAATGTTGACTGCTTGTTTTTCCTTAAATTTGTCTTTGCTATCCTAGGTATGTGACCATGAACTGCAGTGCCAGTGCAAAGAAGGATCAGCACCTCCTAACTGTGATGAGCCCACAGGAAATAAATGTGAGTTAATTCAGAGGGGCACTTGTCTTCCCCAACCCCCGAGAATCTGAATAGATAGGTTCTGGTTTCTGGGCTTTTTTTTTTCTTCTGGCAGCCAACAGAGCCTTTGCTGCCCATTGGGAGACTAGGAGACTAGGGCTGCATAATATCTTGGTTTACGTAGGTAGAACCTGGCTAAAGAGAAATACACATAAAACCTACGAAAAAGAAAGAAAAACATATAGATAGATAGATAGATAGATAGATAGATAGATAGATAGATAGATACACACATACACACACACACACACACACACACACCTCTCTTTCTCTTTCTCTTCTCTCTCCCTCTCTCTCCCTCCATCTCTCTCTCTCTCCCCCTCTTCCTCTCCCTCTCCCTCTCTCTCCCTCCATCTCTCTCTCTCTCCCCCTCTCCCTCTCCCTCTCCCTCTCTCTCCCTCCCTCCCTCTCTCTCCCTCTCCCTCTCCCTCTCTTTCCCTCCCCCCCTCTCTCTCCCTCCCTCTCTCCCTCTCTCTCTCTCCCCCTCTCCCTCTCCCTCCCTCCCTCTCTCTCTCTCTCTCTGTATGTGTGTGTATATATATATATATGGACGCAAATGCTAATACTGGACATTTTGGACGTCTTTCTTTTCTCAGTATATTTTATAGTAAATGTACCACAGTATGACATCTTCATAACAAAACAGAAAATGATGGATGGAGCTCTTTTTAGCTGGTACCAATAAACAGGTCAGAGGTAGGATATGTTTAAAGAAACAGGCAAACAGGTAGCTACAAGCGTGTAATTGAAACTTGGGTTTCTTTCATGGGGATCATCACATTGAAGCAAGTGGGCGGAGCTTCAATCTTATCATCATAACCACCAATTTATATTGTTGACCATAGTGTGTGGCCATCCCTTTAATGTAGCAGTCCTTAACCTTTCTGGCTCTGTGTACCAGCAGCAGTGGCATCAGATGTGGGGGAGGGGATGGTTTCGTGCAAATGCCTGCTGCTTTTGCAAATAGAGCTTTGTATGCTTGCCCATCACTTGTATTTGTCATTTCTTTACCCAGAGCAGTTCCCTTGTATTCCTTTTTCTCATTTTCGGTGGTTACCTCTTAAGTAATTTTCATTAGTTCCATATTGTAAATAATAAAGAATAATCTAATTTAGCCTCAGTGCATACAGTAGAAAGCATCCACATTAATTTGGGACTAAATTATTGCATGGAAGTAGGGATTTATTCAAATTTTAGACAGGTTAAATAATCCTTATTCGAAATAGGGCTTGATATCTCAGTTTTTGTATTATTTAATTTTAATTTAATTTAATTTAATTAATTCAATTTATATGCCGCCATTCTCCGAAGACTCAGGGCGGCTTACAATGCATTTTAAAAAAACCCATTATGAAAACATTTAAAAATTAAAACATTAAAACCCATTCACACCATTGATGGCTAGATCTCACACGATCGGAACAGCGAGATCAACGGCCCCAGGCCTGCCAGAATAGCCAGATCTTCACCGCTATTTGGAAGCCCAATAGGGTGGGGATGGTCCGGACCTCAGGAAGTAACTGGTTCCAGAGAGCTGGGGCAGCCACAGAGAAGGCCCTCCCCTGCGGCCCCACCAGCCGGCATTGTTTAGCTGACGGGATCCGGAGGAGACCAACTGTGTGGGATCTTACTGGTCGCTGGGAGCTATGTGGTAGAAGGTGGTCTCGAAGATAACCTGGCCCTGAGCCATGTAGGGCTTTAAAGGTAATAACCAATACCTTGAATTATGCCCAGAGACCAATAGTGAGCCAATGGAACTCGCGGAGAATTGGTGTAATGTGGGTGTATCTAGGCACACCCACAATAGCTCGCGCGGCTGCATTCTGGACCAACTGTAGTCTCCAAACACTTTTCAAGGGTAACCCCATGTAGAACGTGTTGCAATAATCTAACCGTGAGGTGACATTATTATCTAGTAACAGGGTATTGTTAACTATTAGCAAACTATACTTTAATTGGAAGTTCTATTTTTAATCTCATTGAGCACATGAAATGAAAAGAAGAAGGAGAAAATAAGTTTAAGCCTTTCTTCAATTTATTTAACTATGGATAGCAAGAGTGTGATTAATCTAAAGCTACCTCACAGTGAAAATCCAAATATAGATTTAACAGATGATAGTTTGCTTTCTTAATCGTGCTGCTACATCCATTTACAAGACTATCTTGGGAGGTCAGTTAAATCTTCCTTGAACCAGAATTATTAACCAATAAGGGAACTGTAATCCCAACACATCTAAAGGTCATGGAGTTGAGTTAGAAAGTGTTAATCTTAAAGGATGATGACTAGTTAAAGCAGGGGTGAAATCCAGCAGGTTCTGACAGGTTCTGGAGAACCGGCAGTGGAAATTTTGAGCAGTTCAGAGAACCTGCAAATACCACCTCTGGCTGGCCCCAGAGTGGGGTGGGAATGGGGATTTTGCAGTATCCTTCCCCTGCCACGCCCACCAAGCCACGCCCACAGAACCGGTAGTAAAAAAAATTGGATTTCACCACTGAGTTAAAGTCATTCATGAAATGAGGTTTATTGTATATCAATTGTTTTCCTAGGCTAAATTTGATGCCCAGAGTTGGTTCCGAGTTGGGTAGCACCTAAATTAAAATAATTGAATAAATAAATACATTCTAGCCAATTCTCAACAGTGGCTCTTAGGAAAAACTCTTATTGCATGGGTGAGAAATGCCAGGGCTTGGAGCAATATAATTTTCAACTAATTGTCTCTATGTTTCTGTGATTTCATCAAATCTATTCATAGCCTTTTCTCTTTATCTTTTAGATATCATCATCATTGTTGTAACTGTGGTGGTCTCTGTAGCCACGGCTATCCTCCTTGCAGTTCTCTTCGGCTTCTACATTTTAAAGAAGAAACAAAAAGACAGGTGAAGCTTTTGAATGTTCTCAGTTAAGCTTCTTTTAAGTGTGGGGAGATTACCAGTTTGCTGACTCTCATAAAAACAGTACTGGTGGGTTCTCCCGACTTAATGGAGAGGCTAAATGTATACTGACTTGGAAAAAGCTGTATAAAACTAGATATTCAGTTCATGACATCTCTCATTGAAGTTACTAGATGTTAACTGAATTATAGTATGAACTGAAGTATAGTACATGTACAAAACAAAACAGTTCGAGGATATCAGCAGTTTTCAGGTAACTAGTTAACAGGAGGGCGAAGGGAGGGAGGGAGGGAGGGAGGAAGAAAGGGAGGGAGGAAGGAGGGAGACATTTAATGTATTTCCAGTGTTACCTTGACTTTGATGTTGGGTATCCTATCCTAACTATAATGTTCTATTCTTTTATGGCAGCATTCACAAAAGTGCACCTGCAACCACAAATCCTTCTTTCTCTGGTCCAGATCAGAAGAGGAAACAGCATCTTGGTTCAGTGTCCAATGATCTAGAGGTGAGAGGTCAAATGGGCTGCCTGAGCAGAGTAGAACGCTGAAATTTTATAAAATGCTTTATCTATTGGCTTCATAATAGGTCATAAGAAGAATGGTTCTCCAGGGGCAATTTAAGGGTGGGTTTAGAAGCTCTTTACCCCACGCACAATGCCAAGAACAAGAAACAAGATGTTGAAACTGTGCTAAAAGTGGGAGCTTTTCATCGACACACAGACAAAATGCTTACCTTTTTTATTTGTTATACATAGAAACATGTTACCATGTTTTCCCGAAAACAAGACCCTGTCTTATATTCTTTTAAACCCTGAAATAAGTGCTTGGCCATGCACTCAAAAGCCCGATTGGGCTTATTATCAGGGGATGTCTTATTTGGGGGAAAACGGGGTATTGCTTCTATTGCCATGACTGTAAGATAAGATCAATCAACTTGTTGTGGCTCCGTTACCTGAGCCAGTGTCATCGGCAGGAGAGGACTCCGAGAGTGAAGGAGAGGAGTTGGCAAGGCCTCCCTCTCCAGGACCCTCTTCTCTGGCAATGCCTTCGGTGCAAGGGCAAGAGATAAGGCCGGGGCCAAGCATGTCCATGCAGCCATAGGTGGACAGTGATGAGGGAAATGAGTCTTGGCTGGATCCTCGACAGCGTCGTAGAGATAAGCGCGCGCAACAGAAGAAAAGGCGTGCCAGGGATTAAGCTGAGTCACTGGACCACACCCCACAGGGTATAAAAGGGGGTGAGGTGGCCATTCAGACTCTGTGACAGACAAAACTAACTACTATCGAGTCACATTGCATCTCTGGAAACAACATTATCGGCCTTGGATTTATTTTACGAACTGGACAATTCTTGACTGTGTGTATTTTGTTTTGAGTAAAGTTCTTGGCAAGCAGCTACTGGGTTGCTGCCAAGCTTCTTATTGGAAGAATTGGTTGTCTGCCAGTTTATTTAACTCCCGGCTGTCTGTTTTTGTGCGTGTGTGGGACGGGGACAGAACACAACTGTTATCTTTCAAGATGCAACACAACTCTTTGTTGTTTTCAAAAACAAAAATAACACAATTGCTATAAATACTGAACTAACCTATTGTTTGCACAATAAATTCAATAGAATGTGTTTGGAAAGAAAGCAACACAAAACAATTAAGGTTAACTTTAATGGAATTAATGTATGTATGGAAGTGCACCTACAAGGCTTCTAACTGATCTGGCTAAGTATTTGAAGATATTGGCTTTAAAACCAATATACTCAAACAGTCTGACTGTTTCTTCCTTTCAGATAAATTCTTCCAGATTTCTCCTCCCAATTCCATTCCAAGGAAATACACCAGAAGTCCAAGTTGTGAGTAAAATTCAATGGAACAATACTTGCATATGAGTCTAAAGCAGTCTCTAACAAACAAAATACATATATTTCACAAATAAAATAAAATATGCTGGGTATTGTCAGTGGTCTAAATGTACATATTATATTGAGTCAAGTAAGTTTTATTTTATTTCAGGTTAGCATGTTGTATGAATCAGAATATTGTAGTTTATCAATCATGGTTTATGGTTAGTGTAAACTAAGCATTGTGGCTCATGCAATACATTATGATTAGAATAAGATAGCGTATTGTGATATGTGAATATAGTTACTTGACAAATGTGAAGGATTTTAAACAAATGTGAAAAAATTGTCTCTAATTTATTAATGTTTATTGAGTCCCACAGTACCCACTGGACTCAATGTACTTGTTTACATTGAGCAGATATAGAGAGATTGTAATTGTACTTTTTAAAAAATAGATATGCATATAAGATTTTTTTTTCAAATTTAGCAACTTTTAAGATCTAGAATGTTGCAAATGAAAAACAAATAATCTACACACTTTTTAACCTGACTGTTGAAAAATCCATACTAGTATTCTGAAACACAATAAGTCGTTTCTGATTATTTAAATTATGATTTCCTTTCTGCACTCTAAATCCCTGTATAGAGTAGGAATAATCTGCATAATATCCAATGTTATAGGAACATCATGATTCTATCGTAAGGGAGTTCTACAAAATTAGGGAATTCACACACATTCTTAGAAAAATCAACTGGATTAAACTGATGCTATTTCATTATTAACAGAAAATCCCAGCTGAACCATTACGACACACATATGAAAATGCCAGAATGGTAAGTTTCTAAATGAATGGTCATTTGATCTAACAACTTCAGAATACTGGTAGATATTCCCTCTGATTCTACTAATTCCCTGACAATTCCACCCTCACCCCTTTTAGAGCGTCATACCTCATTCTGTTTAGCCTATAGAAAAGTGAAAATTTTATGGGATGAATATTTTTGAAGACAAGAAATCAACTGTTCTCTATTCTGTAATTAACATCTGCTGCTTGCAATTACTGCAAGTTCAAATCTCACCAGGCTCAAGGTTGACTCAGCCTTCCATCCTTTCTAAGGTAGGTAAAATGAGGACCCAGATTGTGGGGGCAATAAGCTGACTTTGTATAAATATAAAAAGTATGAAGGCTATTGCTTAATGCATTGTAAGCCGCCCTAAGTCTCCAGAGAAGGGAGGCATATAAATTAAAGCAAAAAAAAACAACACTGTTCTTCATCTACAAATGCTAATATGGAGTATTATGCTTAAACTTCCCAAACTGTTCATTAACGTACAGTAGTATTTTCTACAGTGCATTTCCAGCAGAGTTTTTTTTTCATAAACTGGTAACAAATCAATTGGAGATGCAAATTATTGGATTATGTCAATTATCCACAAACATTCTAAATTCTGTTCTGAATTAGGCAGATTTCAAGAAAATAACCAATGACAGGCCAATCATTATGAGTGAAGTATATCAATGCCCAAAGGGATATATGTAGCCAGAGGGCATTTAAGTGATTTCATGACACATAATGCATCCTTTGACCAGTTTTTGTTGCAACACTGCCAAGGATAAATAGAATAGGACAATCCAGGGGCTAAAATAGTTTAAGGCATTCCTGGGCTGTATTAATGGAAGCATTGTGCCCAGATGTAATGCTTCCATTGAATTCTGGCTGGTTAAATCTTGTTTGCTGAACATATTAGGTACAGTTTTGGGCACCATACTTTAAGAACACTGTGGAGCATGTTGCAAAGATTGAGTGATAATAGAAGATGTTGAAAGCACTTTTTAAAATGCATGTTGACTACTGTGTGCAAAGGCAACTAAAAAAACCTTCCAATTTTCTTTCCATTTCAGCCCATTGTGAAACCAAATATCCCACCACCTCCAGTTCCAACAGCAAAATCCACCATATATCCATCTATGGTATGTCAGCTTCCTAAACATCACTCTTCCAACATATTTTGTTCCTTTATAGCAGGATGCTAGAGTGAGGCTTTGTGATAATAACTCCTTCTAGCCAGTGTGAAATTTTCACTTTTCCAGACTGCTGGATGAAAAATAAGGCAAAGAACTGCACTTGGAGAAAAACTTCAACTGGTGGGTTACTGGTGGGGATTTTTTTAATGGGCCTGACCCTCCAGGGATTGTGCCTAACCATATAGTAGCTTAAATTGCTTAAATTGCTTGTTGGATACAACCAGACTTTGTAGTCCTTTCTTCCTAATGCCAAGGGAGACATAAAGCCTTTGGAATGTTGCATATCAGGTCTAGATTTGATGCTTTTGTAAAGGGAGGTTGAATTGCCACTAATATATTGAATTGCATTATGAATTGCCTTATTCTTGAATCTCCATCTACCTAGGACAGTTAATCTACAATAGTAACTGTAGGAGAGGACCAGAGAGGTGGGCAAGGTGGGGGGCACAGTTAAATGAGATTAATGTCAGGCACAAAGAAATAGGACCATTCAAAAAATGGAGCATAGAAGATTTATTCAAACCTATACACAAGAATCTAGTCAACTAATAGTCAACACTTGGTAGAGCCTTGGTAGTACAGTGGTCTAAGGCACCCTGTTATTAAGCTGGTTATTAAGACCAGCTGCCTGCAATTACTGCAGGTTCGAATCTCGCCAAGGCTCAAGGTTGACTCAGCCTTCCATCCTTTCTAAGGTAGCTAAATTGAGGACCGAGTTTGTGGGGGCAATAAGCTGACTTTGTATAAATATACAAAAGGATGAAGGCTATTGCTGAGCACATTGTAAGCCGCCCTGTGTCTCCGGAGAAGGGTGGCATATAAATCAAATTAAAAAAAAAACCCACTAAATTGGCACTAGATAAGTGTCAAGAGGATTCAAGTAGGTCTGGACTTGTGACAATGCAGGGAGTCTGAACTGATAATGCATTTAACTCCACCCTCCAATTCTGCTCTTGCTCTTTTGTTCGGTAACAGAGTGATAGTATTCCTACGCAAGCTTTGTCCAAACTCCAGTTTTAATGGGAAAAGGTTGGAACATGTTCCATTATTAAAATACCCCCTTTCTTCAAGTAAGAATTTAAGGGGCCCAGAAACACTCACTTTCCAGATTTTATCCTTGAAAGTTCCTTTTTCAAAGAAACAACTTCCCATAAGAAAACTGAATCTTAGTGCAAAACTTGTAACCCACCATCATGAATTGCCTTTCGAGCAGTGAATCCCACTCTACATAACCAGCTAAATTGCTTTAAACACATATTCTGAAGAGCTTGGATTACAAAATATCTTGCAGATAAATTATTCAAGAATAGTGCCAGAACATGGGCACTAGGCAGATGCTGGCTCATTTCTTGAAATGTTATATATCACAATAACATCTGTACTGCTTATGCTGGTTCTTTTTTTTTACAACCAAACCCAAGTTTTAGATCAAGACTACAGGATAACTGTAGTTAACTGGAGATTAAAAATAGCCTTCCAGAATCAATATTGCAGCTGCCAAATTCTATTCAGAATGTCCTGGAGCAAAATGCTTTCATTTGGAGTGGGGGGATAGGTAGGCAATATTAAGTAACAAAATTGGTACTTATGCTCTCTATTTTATCCATAAAAGTTCTAAAAATGACCCTTTATCAGTTCAATTTTCAAATATGACCCTCAACTTTCCATACAAACCTGGTGCAGGCAGGTGTAAAATAAGTAAGTAAGAGTAATTCGGTGTAAACATTTATTTGTATCTTATTTCTTTACTTGTTAGAGTTATAAACTACCGAATCAACCAAGGACTCTTGGCTGTTTGCAAATGGCAGTTTAGCAATAATATACTCAGCATATACTAAATGGCTGGTTAATATTTAACAGAAATAAATCTGGCATTTCTCTTACAGTCAAAAATAATGAATCCAGCTCCTTCTTCTGACCTTCAGTCTAAGCCAGCTCCTCCTCCGCCTCCACCCCAGGTAAGAGGCAGGTACTCTATGAAAATACAAAAATGATAAAGATGTTAAAGAGTTATGACTTTTTAACTGGTAGAGGTAGAAAGATCGAGAGGCTATACTTTGTTCTCATGTGACAAGATTACATTTGGGTAGAAAAGTGCCATTATTGGAAATAGCAACATACACAGATCATTGACAAGAATGGTACAAAGGGAATTGCGCCATCTAAACTAATAAGTCCAAGGTCAAATAATTTAGTTTAGAGAAACTGTCTTTGTGGGATGAAGAAGTTATCTGTGGACAAACGGAACTAGATATACTAGTTCTTTGTTCGGCTGTTAATTCCTAAAATAAAACACCCTGGAGACTTGGATGGGTGGGTACATATTGGCTCTGTTGGGTATAACTTCTCCCAGTGATTTCCCCCCCAAAAGCATGGTCATCAACTTGATCAGTCTGAAACTATCATAATCAATAAAAATACAGTATATTTTTTCAGGAAAAAAAAATCAAAACAACAAAAGCAAAGCTTATTTTGGATGAGGAAAATTTATCTTCTTTACCTATTTATTGTAGCACAGTGATTCAGTGGTTAAGACGTTGGGCTTATTGGCTGGAAAGCTGGCAGCTCAGGTTCCAGATCAAAGTGCCACGTGATGGGATGGATATCTCATCCTTGCCCAACTCCTGCCAAACTAGCAGTTGAAATGCATGTCAATACAAGTAGATAAATAGGTACCACTTTGGTGGGAAGATAACAGCATTCCATGCACCTCAGTATACAGTCATTCTGGGCACATGACCATGGAAGTGTCTTTGGACAGCACTGGCTCAATGACCTTGAAACAGAGATGACTGCTGCCCCCTATAGTTGGCAATGGCTACTGGACTAAAATCTGCAGGACTCCTACCTGTTTATTGCTTCCTTCTCTATTCCACTCTGGTTTGTTTTCCACCTTTAGGACTGATGACTTAAATCAATTTAATAGAATAGAATAGAATAGAATAGAATAGAATAGAATAGAATAGAATAGAATAGAATAGAATAGAATAGAATTTTTTATTGGCCAAGTGTGATTGGACACACAAGGAAATTGTCTTGGTGCATACACTCTCAGTGTACATAAAGGAGAAGATACATTCATCAAGAATCATAAGGTACAACACTTAATGATAGTCATAGGGAACAAATAAGCAATCAAATCATATTAGGAAACAGTCAATATAAACCGTAAGGATACCAGCAACAAGGTTACAGTCATACAGTCATAAGTGGGGGGAGATGGGTGATAGGAATGATGAGAAGATTAATAGTAATGCAGACTTAATAACTAGTTTGACAGTGTTGAGGGAATTATTTGTTTAGCAGAGTGATGGCGTTCGGGAAAAACCTGTCCTTGTGTCTAGTTGTTCTGGTGTGCAGTGCTCTATAGCATCATTTTGAGGGTAGGAGTTGAAACAGTTTATGTCCAGGATGCGAAGGGTCTGTAGATATTTTCCCAGCCCTCTTTTTGACTCGTGCAGTATACAGGTCCTCAATGGAAGGCAGATTGGTAGCAATTGTTTTTTTCTGCAGTTCTAACGATCCTCTGAAGTCTGTGTCTGTCTTGTTGGGTTGCAAAACCAAACCAGACATATAATGCTTTGCTTTCAGTCATTTGATTTCAATATCTATTTGCTATTGTTTGCAGGCGCTGAAACCCACTAAATAATCTCAGGGTATGAAACAAAACAAGAATCAGAAATGATACCGATTCTCTGATTTCCAAGAAGACCTTTTCCATTTTCTCAGTTTCCATACCTGCAAAGGACAACTGAATGGTGACTTCTTTCCACAAGTTTAATGCTTCCTCTGCAGCGGGGAATGTCTTTTTAACTTTGGGGACAGCATCGCCTGTAGTAAGGATGGGAACTGATAAGAAGATCTTCAGCGTTCTTCCATTATATCCTTGAATATCAAATGGGGAGATCCTAGCAGAGTTGGGATGATTTTGTGAATTGTGAACCGAGCCAAAAGATGCATAGAAGCAAATGATGCCTCTGTAGGAGATTTAAACACCCATCACTGCCAACTGTGGACAAAATCAAAACTAAAGAAATTTTTTTTTGATGCTTGAAGCAGAAGTGGAAACAGAAACTGTCCTGCCTACTGAATTAATCACTTTATTCTCTTGGAGTACAAAATGACTGAGTCTTGCATGATGCCACCAGATTCTTTGACATAAGCGAAGGCGGATCTCTTTGAACCTTCTCTCTACCTGTGCAAACAAAGAAGCAGAGATGAGACTTAGGGACTCCAGTGCCTATTGTTTATTGCTCAAGGACTTTTCAAGGTACAATTGTATTAGCTCTGCCAACTTTTTTCATCAGATTCTGCTCCTATTCCCTAAGGCTACATGTAACCTTTGGCTTAATTTCAAAAGCCATTGGCAAGTGACCCTTTCAGGCTTCTAGTAGAGATATTTAGCCCTTTTGGGGTGCTGGCTTGAGAGAAAAGGAATACTTTAAAAAAATAACAAGGGAGATAAAGAAGTGGAATTCCTGGTGCTTTTTGCCTCTGGTCAGCCTTGACCAGTTCCTAGGACATTTGCAGCTGAGTGGTCAAGATAGTGGCTCTGATTATGCCATTGAAGCACACACCCCCCCCTTTTACATATGTGCATTAAAAGAGGCAGGGCATTAATGGCATGGCTACAGCTTTCATCCTGATTTCTTGATTCCCCTCCCCATGGATACCCCTGAGTATAATTCTAAAGGCCCAGCTGTAATCTGCAATAGGCTTTCATGCTGTCAAAAGCTTCTTCTACTGATTCTTGCAGATCAACCTTCTCATAAAGAGAAAGAGTAATGAGCCATTTGCAGGAAAAGAACCAACCAAGGACTCAATAGTTAAACATTGAGCCACGTATGTTCTTGAGTATTTAAAAGGAAAGTGATAGAGACAGAGATAGAGATAGAGACAGACATGAAGATCTGATAACTCTAAACGGTAGAAGGAATTCATTATTAGCATTTGAATAGGTTGGGATCCCCTTGGAGGTCATTTTAAGTACTTTCTTTTTGTTACATTACTATTAAAAAAAAAAACACTTAAATGCTTAGACCCTTCAAGGATAACATTTTCATTAAGCAGCCAAACAGTTCATGGGTTAAAATGATAGGAAAGGTTAGGAGGCAGGATTCCTTAAAGTAGTACAATATTATTTTTTTAAAAAATGTGCTACTGTTTGAAAAAGTCAGTTGTGAGACTAAGGGAGCTATCGGGATAGGTGCAATAGGAGCCAAAAGATGTGATTTGAAAAAATGTAATGTGATTTGAAAAAAAAAACAGGTCAAGGAACAGAACCAAAAGTATATAATTTTGTTGAATTTTTTTTTTTTGGTATTTTTTTACTTGTGTTTTAAGTAAGGCCACTTCTGAAATCCTCCACATCTAAAATTCTTTCTGAGTTTGTAAGCTTTTGATTGACTGATCTTGTCTGTGATTTTTCCATTGTATTTTTGTGTGGAAAAGGAAGTGACACTGTTTGCTCAGTTTTCACTTCCTTCGTGTTTCTTCCTCCTCCCTTCTTCATTTTGCACATGAAAAAACACTGCAAAAAAAAAAACCAACAACATTGATACACATCTCCACATCCACCCAATTTTATATGTTGTTTTGCTTATTGCAAGAAACACCCAGAACGGGGCGGAATTATGATGCACCTTCTTGGGTTACCACAAGGCTACTGTTTTGCAGTGCTTTTTACTGTCCATTTTGCTCAAAAGGGGGTGCAAAGGCATCAAAGAAACTGAGGCAACCTGTACATGTTTAGGAAATGTCAGTTGAATTGAAATTTGAGAGGAATGACATGGAGAGCTGCCTTGATTGGTGACTTACATTTCTCAGTATGCTTATGGGATTTCTAATACACTACAAAGAAGCAGAAGTTGAGAAAAAGAATGTCAGTTAAATGAATCAAAGATTGAGTGCGCTTGTTTCTCAGTCTAAGTTGGATATACCTTGCACATATGGGAGACATGACTAGGACAGCATAAACCTGTGATTTGGATTTTCAGCTTGAAGGCAATTGGGTCAACTTTCCAACCAGAATAACAGAGTTGGAAGGGACCTTGGAGGTCTTCTAGTCCAAACCTCTGCTCAAGCAAGACATGCTGTACCATCAGAGACAATGATTGTCCAATCTCTTCTTAAAAACCTCCAATATTGGAGCACCCACAACTTTTGGAGGCAAGTCCTTCCACTGTTTAATTGTTAATTGGATCTCTCCTTGATTAGTTTCCATCCATTGCTTCTTGTCCTGCTTTCAGCTGCTTTGGAGAATAAATTGACCGCCTCTTCTTTGTGGCAGTCCCTTAAATATTGGAATACTGATATCATATCACCCCTAGTCCTTCTTTTCATTAAATCTGAATGAGATTCAGACCAGAATCTGAAAGTCAAGAAAAACTGAACTGTTTAATTGAATCAGGTACTTGAAAAATGATCTAAAAATGTAAAAAGCTTTTGCATATATAAAAAGTCCCCTTTCCCCATTAATTCAGGAAAAAAATGTAATTGATTTTCTGAATTGAATTGAAATTAGATTTCAAGATGTTTTTAAAATAGCCTTCGGGTCTGAGTAAACATCTCATGTTCTATCAAAGAAAGTTATGTCATCTTCAGAAAGACAACAGTCAATTACAATTACAACTAATTACAAATAGAACTCCATACTGTAAACAGCTTTCGAAGTTGGCACCTTCAAAGTAGTCAGATAGATAGATTTGACAATCTTAGAATTTTCTAAGCAGCATAACCATTGATCAAGATTTAACAAGGCATGGAGAGGCAAGCACTTTTTTTAAAAAAAAATTGATTTATATGCCGCCCTTCTCCGGAGACTCAGGGCGGCTTACAATGCGTTAAGCAATAGCCTTCATCCTTTTGTATATTTATACAAAGTCAGCTTATTGCCCCCACAAACTGGGTCCTCAATTTACCTACCTTAGAAAGGATGGAAGGCTGAGTCAACCTTGAGCCTGGGGAGATTCGAACTTGCAGTAATTGCAAGCAGCAGATGTTAATCACAATGCTTTTAGTCTGCTGAGCCACCAGGCCCTTGGCCTGGTGGCTCAGCAGCCACCATGGGCATTTGTGAAGTGGATGGGATATAGTTCTCCACTGCATGTCCTCTGCACCAAAAATAGCCCAGATTGACATGTGGAAATCACCATAAAATGTGCCTTATCTGTACTGATTGTACCTGTTCCATCACTTCTCTTCCAGTGGCATTATCTTATTCTAGAGGAGGTGTGGGCAGGCTCTTTAAGTGTCAAATGTTTGTTTTTTTTTAAAGATGAATTGGAATTATACAAGTTTGCAAAGTCTTAAAAGATTTCAACTTTTTATGTGTTCTTATATACGAATGCCAAAATTTTGCATGCTCAGCTGAAATCTTGCATTATTTCATTGTATAACACTGACATCTTGTGGATTTTGGCACACATCTAGGATTTTGGCTGTTTTAATAGAATTAAATATATTGCCTTTTAATTTTAGGTTTCCAGGTAGGCATAAATCACATGTAGGAAACTTCAAGTTCAATTTGGGAGTCAGGTATAAATAGAGAATATTCATTTCTGTTAGGAGTGAGGGAGCATATATACTGTCTGGGTGACAGTTATCACCAACCCTTCCTTTCCTGTGTCTAAATTTAGCAAAATTGATTGCAAGATCAGAAGAGGAAGGGATATTCGCATTGGCTTGAATTTAAATACAGAATGGTCCTCAATTTACAATGGCAACTGAGACCAAAATTGTTATCACTGAGTGATGCGATCATAAAGCAAAGGTGTACAAGAAGTGCTGGTTGGGAAGACATCGTAAACCCCCCTCCCCCCCATTCAGAATCACTGTAATTTCAAATTGCTGAAAGAATAATTGTAAATCGAGGACTACTACAGACTTATCCATGAGATTAGATTGTCTAGTTTATAGGGATTAGAAAATTAGTGTACATTAATATACATTGCACATGCTTGTCATCTTGAGGATTTTTAGTGGTGGGGGGAAACAGGGTGCTGGAGAAAAAAAATACTTGCAGGTGAAAAGTAGGATTCTAATTCTCTTCTTGGCATCTGCAATTCCCCTACAGTTTCTCTTCCAGGCCTGTAGAACTGTTAGAAGCAAATGACAAATTGCTAGTCTGGTCAAACGAGAGTTAGTTAAGAGAGTTAGAAGGTTAAATGCAGATCAACTCAATGTTGCATTGAAATCTGCCTTGCAACTTATCGACTGTTTGACCGTTGTAAATAAAGACATTATTCTGTATTCTTTTCAGAATGTTTGTGGGTTTATTTCAAACTTGCCTGGTTTGTTTTTTTTCAGTTTATTTTATTGTTGTTATTGGCAGCGGGGACTTCTCTTAAACCTTTCTCTTACACATCTTCCTACCCCAAACTGGAAAACTCAAGGAATTCTTTCCTTGAGGTCTCTGCTAGAAATTAATGGAAACATGGAAAGCCATGGAGGCTGCAAAGTCAACCTGTGCAATATTTTTTTCCCCTTTGCACAAACACTTTTATGTCTAGTTAAATTGTGATTTAAAATATTATGTTATTATTATGTAAAATATGGAATAATACCTCTATTTAAAATGTTCTTATATAAACGCTGCTTATAAAAATAAATATGACCATGTCTTTTTTGTTAAGATGCAAATGTTTGTGATCTGTCCCCTTTTTGTGGGTTTATGATCCTTCAAGGACTAACAAGAACCAGGCCAGCCTGGAACCAGATTCTCCAAGGTTCATCTTAGTTATAGGGAAATTCTTCTCTTCTCTTTCAATAAAACAATCAGTTTAACCATTTCTGCTTCATCTTCCTTGCTGTGGAAATAATATGCATTTCTATCTGAACTTAATAATCTTTATCAACTATCGCCATTTATATTAACAAGATTCAGATTTATTCTTTCAGATTCTTTCACCTTTCATACTTTTTTTCCCTATCCATTTTAAAACACTGTTTTTCTTTAAAAACATTTCTAAATTCAAAACATTCTAATAGATCTTTTTTTAAAACTTCCTCTTAACATACATATGCTTTGAGATATTAAAATTCCAACTAACTCGGATTAACTCATTAAATTTAGATCATTCCAATAATTGGAATAATTAGAATAATAGAATAATTCTGTCAGGTTTTGGGCGGGAAGATTTTTGAGGGGAGAGTTGACTGGAATCCTGAATGGTGAAGGGGACATTTTATCTCAGACAAGGTTAGAAATCGAAGAGTTAGACTTTTTAGTTAGAATAGCCCTGGAGCTTCTGTTGAGGGAAGAAGAGGTGGAGAAGGTGGAGACGAGCTGACCGAGGCGAGTGGGCAAGCCAGTGACCAGAGGAACATCAGATACCCCAGTGGCCAGAGGAGGTGACCTGAGCTGGGCCAGTGGACGTGACTGGGTGAGAGATTAGGGTAGAATTATGTCCAGAATGATGGACATTGAGACACCCCGCCGAGTGACTGTGTAGTGGGGACGAGCCTGGGTACATATAGAAGAGAAATTCAGATTCTAGCAGTCCTTCTAGGCTGACTCTACCCTATCATATTATTCACAGATGGTAAGCAAATGGGACTCAAATTAAGCTGGTGTGCACTTCTTGTGCACCTTGGAGTTTAATCCCATGCTTCTCTGTCTTGCGATACTCATTTATTTCATTGGGAAAGTGTTGCACAAAGTACCTCCATGGATACTGTAACTTTTATTACTCAGAAAGAGCCCATTATAAATCCTCTGCTTGCAAGATTTTCCAAGCTAAGGTATTCAGCTATTCTATGGCTCCCAAATTTGCTCTTTTTCAAAGCTTAATATTCTTGAAACCGTTCAAAATAGGTATATTCAAGCCACACCCATGGTTTCAAAATGTATCCAAAACACCACCTTATGTGTAGAGATAGGTATAGACTTGTTGGATGCCTAGAGCGTGGTTTCTTCTTACTAGCTTTTAGCTGAAAGACAAATGTGTGAATAAAGTGACCAGAACTGGAATCCCCCAACCCCACTTCTAACTCTTCTCCTGATGGCTTCTCACCCAAGTATTTTTAAAATCAGCCCTACTTAGCTTTCAAGGTCTGTTGGTTGAGTTAAAGAGAGATCCAACTTAGAATTAAGGAGAAATTTTGTGACAGTGAGAACATTTAATTAACGGAATGGCTTGACTCCAGAAGCTGTGGGTGCTCCATCTCTGGAGGTTTTCAAGAAAAGACTGGACATTCATTTGTCCAGGATGCTACAAAGTCTTTTGCTAGGCCAAAGGATTGGAGTAGAACAGGGGTGCCAAACCGGGGCCCACAGTCTGGATGCGTCATGCCCAGGCCACGCCAACCCGGCTCCGCAAAGGCAAAACCGTCACGATACATCACGTGATATCATGTGACATGATCAAGTTTGATACCCGTGGACTAGAAGATCTCCAAGGTCCCTTCCAGTCCTATGATTCTATTAAAATTTGATGTGCTGACACTATTACTAATAAAGATTGTCTGAATTCAAAAAGGTGCAAATTCCCTAATTGCAGATTCCTACATTTTTTTTATGTTTTAAATAAGCTATTTGTTTATGTTTCTACAGTACCTAAAAACTCAGAGACATCAGTTATAAAGTTTTAGATTTTAAAAAAATGGATTGTATTTTTTTAAAAAACAAATCTTTATATGTGGAACAACCCTGACATCTACTGTACATGACTTTCAACTGCATCCTTAAACACAATAACATGCTATTTATTTGCTATCTGTACGCCAGTAAACAATGCTTGATAATTCTTCCCTCAAATTTGGCAAGAAGATTTTGTGAGCAATACAGATAAATGCAGCCCTACAGATATGTGGATTTTGGCAATGTAAAGAGAGTTAGCTTTACAGTTTCTGGTGCCAATTTTTCTTTGACAGACTTTGTACCAATGATGTGCCAGATAAGGGGTTAGGAATAGGGGGCACCGTTTTGCGGTGGTTCTCCTCCTTCCTCTCCGACCGCTCGCAGTTTGTGTTGGCAGGGGGGCAGAGGTCGACCTCGAGGCGCCTCGCATGGGGAGTGCCGCAAGGGTCGGTCCTCACGCCCCTTCTGTTCAACATTTATGTGAAGCCGCTGGGTGAGATCATCCGTGGTTTTGGGGTGAAGTGTCATCTGTACGCTGATGATACTCAGCTGTACATCTCCACCCCAGACCACCCCAACGATGCCCTTAATGTGATGTCTCACTGCCTGGAGGTCGTGCGGGTCTGGATGGGGAGGAACAGGCTCAGACTCAACCCCTCCAAGACTGAGTGGCTGTGGCTTCTGGCGTCCCGATATAGTCAGCAGGGGCTATCGCTGACTATTGGGGGTGAATCTTTGTCCCCCACAGAGAGGGCTCGTAATCTGGGTGTAATCCTCTCATAATCTTCCTGGACGCACGGCTGTCTTTAGAACAGCATATGACGGCCATGGTCAGGGGGGCCTTTTATCAGGTTTGCCTGATTCGCCAGTTGCAGCCCTTTCTGGACCGGGACGCCTTGCGCACGGTCACTCACGCCCTTGTCACCTCCCGGCTGGACTATTGTAATGCTCTCTACATGGGGCTCCCCTTGAAGAGCACTCGGAGGCTCCAACTGGTCCAGAATGCGGCCGTGCGGGTGGTTATGGGCGCAACTCGTTGTGCCCATGTGACACCCCTCCTGCACGAGCTGCACTGGCTCCCAGTGGTCTTCCGGGTGCGATTCAAGGTGCTGGTTATCACCTTTAAAGCGCTCCATGGCATAGGACCCGGGTACCTTCGAGACCGACTTCTGCCACCAATAGCCTCCAACCGGCCAGTTCGCTCCCACAGAGAGGGCCTCCTCAGGGTGCCATCCGCCAAGTTATGTCGGCTGGCGACACCCAGGGGGAGGGCCTTCTCTGTGGGAGCCCCAGCCCTGTGGAATGAACTGCCCCCGGAAATACGTAAGATCCCCGACCTCCGGGTATTTCGCTGTGCACTGAAGACCCTGTTGTTCCGCCAGGCCGGGCTATCGACATGATAATTTTAAATTGGGGTATTTTAAATTTCTGGGGTTTTAAATGGAGCCAAATTTATTTAATAAGTTTAAATTTTAAATTGATGTTTGTCTTGTGTTTTTAAATAGGCTGTACACCGCCCTGAGTCCTTCGGGAGAAGGGCGGTATAGAAATAAAATTATTATTATTATTATTATTATTATTATTATTATTATTATTATTATATGGTTAACAGATGGAAAGGAGGGGAACACTAAGTACAGGAGGAAAGATGGAGGCCTTTCCCAACCAAGAAGCCACCTCCAGAATGGTGAACCCCAGTGGGGGCTTCAGGCCAGCTGGCAGAGCCAGGTTTTCTGGCCCTTTTGGAAGGCCAAAAAGGAGAGTACAGACCTCACTTCTGGTGGGAGAATAACCCAAAGGGCAGGAGCCGGGGCAGAAAAGGCTCTTCTCCTAGACAGCATCAGCCAAAATTCCTTCATTGATGGAGGTGCACACCATGCCCCCCCCCCCTTTCTGCCACATTGGATGGGGTGGACCAATCCATTGATCTGAGATGGTTCATTTATTTTTCCTTTTCTCTTGTAGCTCAAGTCAGGGCACAGGAGGAGGCTGGTCTTTCTCATTTTATCTCTCTGCCATAATTACCATTTGAGAGAGACTGGAGTACGAGAGCAACCAGCTAATAGTGATCCATGGTTGAGGATCAGCGGAGAGTTGGATCACCCCAATCCAAACTCAGCACCTTAGTTGCTATGCCATACTTGCGCCTCTCAATGGCAGCTGACTGGCAATCCTTACATTTACCGCATGGATGGAGAACTTTTTCCTCTGAAGGCCATGTGGCTTGCTGGATTGGAAGTTGGACACTGCAGAGATTGGTCTCCTGTTCATAAGTGTATTTTTGTTCACCTTCATATATGCAAAAGTCATCTTGGCATAGACTTTAGTCTCTTTCTTGTCATCTCTCCACCAGTTTTGAGAAGCAGCACTGGGAAATGATGGATCTTCCTCCAGCTTCCCAGTCATCACTTGAAAATTGTTGGTTTCTTACTGCCATTGCAACTGGGAAAATAGTTATGCCATTAATCGAGTGGATAGCATAAATCAGGTTATGCGATTGCTTTCCATTAATGATAGAATCTCATGAACGTTTTCCTACCAATCAGCTGATCCTGCAATTCTTGGGCTGGTAAATTACAGTCCCTAAACCACCGAAACTTAGCAGGAAAAAAAAAAAGATGAATTGCAAAGCAGGTTGGCAGCCAGTGCAGCTCTTGTACTGACAATTTAACAGAGTTGGAAGGGACTTTGTAGGTCATCTAGTCTAACCCCCTGCCCAAGCATGAGACCCTATACCATTTCTGAAAGATGGCAGTCCAGTCTCTTCTTGAAAGCCTCCAGTGATGAAGCTCCCACAACCTCTGAAGGAAAGCTGTTCCATTGGTTGATTGTTCTCACTGTCAGAAAATGTCTCCTTATTTCTAGGTTGAATCTCTCCTTGACAGAGGTGTTACATGTGCCACCTAAGGGGTCTCCAAAAGTATTGGTGTCAGCGTTCCAGAAAAAAACCCAACTCCAAGTAAAAACTCTGAAGCAAGCATTTTTCAAAGTTCTATTTACTAGAATAGGTAAACTGGCACATCTGGGGAAACCCGAATCTGAGAGGTCTGGGGTT